TTGCTTTAATGCTCGTATACAGAAAATGGCAAAAAAGAGACAAACACGATAATTGTTCATTTAACAGAATTTTATTTAAATTTAAACCTCTCAAGGCAGTAAAAATTCTAATTAATATCGCGCACAAACGATAAGATGAAAAACTGTTCCTAACAATAGAACTTTTCCCAGTAATTTTGGTATAAAAAAATGTTTAATTAGTTGGAGGTACAGTTAATTAAATGTTTGTGATGCCTACACCTTTTTATAGCGTTGGCCTTCACTTGCGATACGTCTAAGTGCAGACAGGGTCAGCATAAACAAAAATGTTACTAAATGATGTATGGGGGGGGATTGATAATGATGATTGTAGGGAAAAGAGCTATGAATTAGTGGGAGCTATAGAATACAACATATTTAGGAGATTATTTCAATTTATTAAGCACATCTGGGGGATTATTTACGAAATAAGCACAGAAATAGTTCGTTTGATTTGAATTTGTATTTCAGTGTTTGATTTTTCCTTTTGGATTTGTTTGTATTTGACGCAGTTTTCGTTTTAATTTCACGCTTTTGTAAATTGTTCAAATTAGATGCTTTAATTTAGGCATATCTGGTCAAGTTTGGGTACTTTATATAAGGTAACATCTGAACTTTGCCATAAGAAGTTTTATTGTTAGGCGAAATCCAATTAACGCACGTGTTCTGGTGCGATTAACGAACATGCAGGTGAAGAATATAATGGAGAAGTGGGCACGTTTGGCGCATTCCGTCGTGATTGTCTGTTTATTAGAAATCTCATAAAGAAGAAGATTATGGTGGAAGTGGTATTTCCTTAAATACTGAAGTCAACGTTAAAACGAGGCGACTGCTGCTGGTTTCGCGACGCGAATTATTTTACGGGCAGTCAGCTTGTTTAGGTGAAAACATTATTCGTCGGTATCGAAATAAAGTGTGCAGAAGCTAGTTAACCAAAGTGGTGTAAGCAGTTTAACACGTGCTCTCCGATTACGGAAAAAGTTGTCGAGTTGAAAAATCGAGCAGGTTCTCTTATTAAAACTTAAAAGTTTCTACCGTCCGAACAGTCACCGATAATGCGTCATCTTATTCATTAATCAAGTCTAGTTTGTAATCTAATTCTGTGTCATCAAGCAAATGAAGTGCAGAAGCTGTCAGCGTTTATGTGAGTTAAGTGCGCCTATTATCCCAAACCTTGTACGACCAGATTATTTGGATTATTAAGAATAAAAATAATTTAAGATTTTGTTTAATTTAATTGTTGACCGCCTGCGTGCGGGGTAGTATGTCCAAACAAGTTTTGTAAGCTTTTCTTTCTTTCAGGAATTTTGCTTTAATTTTTTTTCGTGTGTTTCGGAATTATTTTTGTTGTCGATCATATTTAATTGTGTTTATTCAAATCCATTGTGCGACCCGAATAGAGTTTTCATGTCAGATTTTTCTTTTCGTGCCCAAGAATTGTCAGGTCTTAATGAAAATTTGTGTGTTATTGATTTAAAGTCAACATTGAGATTTGTCATTGTGACGAGAGTCGTACATCTACTCGGACAATAATTACAATTCCAAATTTAAAGGTTCGGATTCGGACACCAGTTTCATAATTTTTTGAAGTCTGAAACATTGCTTCCGCCCGCGGTTTGAAAGTTATATTATTCTGACACCCGCTTTTCAACCACCGCATTAGTCCAACCGCCAACCCGGTATCTAAAACTTTACTTTACGACCACGTGCTATTGAACACTGGTCCAGCCGCAAACACGGAAATATTTACGCTCTTGGGCAACCTCCCTGATCCAGCTGCAAATCCCGAAACTTTACTTTTCTCAACCGCGCTCTAAGATAACCTCATTGGTCTAGTCGAGGGTCCTGCGTTCAAAAAACGGACCAATCAGAGAAATCCTTCATAATTAGGTAAAGAGAACCAACACCAGCTGCAAATCCCGAAACTTTACTTTTCTCAACCGCGCTCTAAGATAACCTCATTGGTCTAGTCGAGGGTCCTGCGTTCAAAAAACGGACCAATCAGAGAAATCCTTCATAATTCATACTATGCTATAGCGCTCGCCTGGCTGGCACCACCTTGTCAGGGACGAACTTAGTACTTTTCTCCCATTCGAGGCTACTAAATTGAAATCACTACCAAATTTTTAAAAAAATCTGTACACCAAGCTAACTACAGTTACACTGAAATGCTTATAAAGCCTTCCTCCATGGATCTAACAAAATTTTCAGTTGATCCATTAGTTTAAGACCAATGAGATCTCTACTGATAACAGACTGACGGACTTGCCGACCTATATGTATATCCGAGTGTATATCTATGCATTATCTAGCTAGGTCAAACAACATATCGCTATTTAATTCCAGGATTAGCGCGTGGGCTGTGAAATCAAATTATGAAATCTTATAAAACCGAATGAGATACAGTGAATAGTGAAGTCGCCTTTCGAACTGATTAAATAATTGCTGATATAAACCATTATGCTTCGCATAGCGTACCTACCTCTCTAACCTATTTATAGATTATCAACCGGTGTACTTTTAGATATCGATTAATTCCATTATGTTTTACTACGTGCGGTTTCGTAAATGAACCATTATTATGACTTTACCCAGTTATGATTGGATCGGAAATGATAAAATTGGTTTTTTAAAATCGTATTTTGCCTTTAATTTTGAGTGGGCGGAGTTTCAGCCAAGGCTGCTCTACCAACCCGACCCACTATACATTTACAAATCCATGCCCGAACCCGGATTCGAACCAGGGACCCTTAGCACCACAGTTCAGCTTTAATTGCGTCCCACGGGCCGGCTCCTGCGGAAAATTCTCTTCCAGAAAGGGTCAACTGCTAATAATTGCTACCGCAATCATTTCTCCTAGGAAAACTTTCGGCTCTAAGTTGCCCAGACCTCTTCAAGAAAATTTGTTATCCAGTAGATATCCGCAGACAGTATTAACACTAGAAGCGCTGGTGTAATTTACAAATGGCGAGTTTAGGTGGGAGCGGTTTGTAAATATAGTTATTCTAGGAGGTTTTTATGTCAAATTGTACTAGGTAATTGTAAAGTGAATTGAGTTTATCCGTTACCATCGTATTTACGGTGGTAAATCCTACCGTTTTTGAGACTTAAAACCCCTTAATCGTATCCTACCTGAAAGGTCTTTTTTTATGAACTCGGGTATCTTGAATTAGCTTGAACACGCAATTAACTTAATTTTCTAATTACAAATAAAGGTCACAGTATATATAGCCGACATTCCCTTACGTCGATTATGCTTTAAAACAGCATAATTACAATGACCACAATTTAAACAATAGGTATTTTTCGATGTGTCGTACTTTAATAAATGACGATTTACAATTTTCTTACTATTTATTGCATTACGCATGAAACAACCTTGAATGTGAATATGTCGCTTTAAGTTATGCCTATCGTGAGTAGCGAAATTACACTGATCACAAATCAAATTTTTGAGAAGGTTGTATGTTTAAACGAACGCTACTAATTGTAACGTAATCACAATGATAGCAGCTGTAGTTATTCAAAGCATAGTGTGTCAAAGAATGACATACAGTGTGTGCCCGGATGGACTGAACAAGAGGGAAACAATTTTTAATTTTAACTTTACGCAAAAATGTCATTCCTTTTCTTAAGCTCTAAGGTGTCTTTTTTAACTTGATTTGCTTATCAGGTTGCCATGGAAGATACAATGATAGTCTGATTTAATCAAAAACATGCAACTTAGAAAAATTTCCGCTGTAGATTTTGCGTTTTTTGTAATTTTCTCAGCTGCTAAAAGGAATACCTAGATTTTTATTTCAGAATAGGTGGTTTTGGCAAGCAAAAATTTTTATAAAGAATGACATTTTGCGTAAAGTTAAAATTAAAAATTTTTTCCCTCTTGTTCAGTCCATCCGGGGACACACTGTATATCTCGAGGTATATCTCCTATTTTTTGTTGTGTAATTTCACTGTTCACAATTTAAGATTTTGGTAATGTTACGCGTTAAACGACGATTTCTTAAATTATCCTTATTGTTGGGTGCATAATTGCAATCGTCACATTTAAAATCTTCTTAGCAATCTGATCAATAGAATATCAATTTCCCAAAAACATCGGGGTCATCTGTTTTCATGCCCCGAATAATAGCGGATCTGAATCAATCGGACGGTCACGTGCAACCCAGTCATTCTAGCTTTGCCTGCGCGACTTCCTGTCTCCACCAAGCTTTCACGCGCAAATAACAGTCAGGACCGTACTATAACTACTATTAGCCTACAAATATCAAAAATCGAAAAAATTTAAATATGCTGGTGGGCTCTCGTTACAAGACTCTCCGAGACGATAGGCGGCTATTAAAAGCTCTTATAGACCATTAAAAAAAGCTCTGCAAAGAGTAAGACTATTAAATCCTCTTAAAGATTTGTAACTGCCTTCTCGTTCCGAGTATCACGGCCTACAGATGAGTGGCGAGGTCAACCACAACTGGAAGAAATAATGTACTTATCGTTACATTTACCCCAACAATGGAGATGGATTAAAATAACTGGAGATCTTTAAAAACTTTTGGAGGTCCTTAAACACACTCGCACCTTAGCTTTTTCTACTTACTCTAGATTGGGCTCTTTTACTTCTTTGCAATTATACGACTAGCACAATACAATTTACCTAACTAAAGTAAAAAAAAAATGCTCGAACGTTACATGCGCAAAATGAGGCGATAGCGCTTTTTGAATACAACAGAAGCGCTACTTCAGGCATCAATCACAAATTTTCTGTAGTGATCCCACTTATAGCTTGGATTAAAAGTGAGATAAAAAGAAGTGTTTTTTTTTCGCTTTGCTGTATATTTATTGTTAATAGAATTATAACAAATATCGATAACGCGCTTGTTTGCTAGGATGTGGAAATGTTTGATCATAGATTATTCGATGTGTAGGCTTTATCACAAGCCATACTGCAATAAGAATAACGAAATCGCTAGTATGTACAGAGCATGTCGAACTGCGGAAGCACGTGTAGTACTTATACAATGAACTTTTCTACCTCATACGCAGTACGTAGAGATACCATATCTTCATCAGTGCTGAATTCATAACCTGATCATTTGGACACCCAATTGTGTTTCCGAAAATGTACGTTAAGTCAACCGACCGCTGGTAAGTACTCCGTTAAAGGGATGAAGAAAGGGGCTATTTGTTTACGCTTTTTTTAACTTAGGTACATTTTTTCGATTCCATGTGAGTGAGTGGTACTGACTTTTTAATTGCGTGTGAAAGCTTGAGACGCCGAGAAGTCGTGGGACAGAACGAAATTAGCTATAATTAAGGGACGATTTTTGAAGGCTGTAAATTGCCGATTCAGCTGTTGGTGTTTAAAAGGGATATTTTCCTGTTTAGAAACTATCACTGTAAATACGATCAATAGTGGAAATTTTAACCCATAACGATAACAACGGCCCAGCCTTAAGTTAAGTTTATTTATGGAAACTATTACGATAAATGCAAACAATAGCGTAAATTTAAAGGCGAGGAAATAAATCAACGTAAATAGACTAAACGTAAATAAACTAAAATTTAACACTACATGACGTAATTTTTCGCTCATATGAAGCGATTGATTTGTGCATTTTGTAATTACATTAAAGTTCACCGTAGGATTACGTACTTTGGCATAATCGTGTTGGAACCAACCATTTGGGTTGGTCCGTTCGTTGGTATAAATAACGTAACCATATTTTTGTATTTAAAATAAACAAACACCCTTGTGTTGAAATTTTTGTAATTCAAATAGTAATGGAAAACCCTTAAAGAAGCTAGCCTTGGAGCTAGCCTACGGGAATAATTTTTTTACAAGAAAGTAAAATCATTTGTAACGGGAGTCCTTTAATGGAATTTATTTTAAGGTTGCGCGATTTTTAGCATCGAGTATTATAAGATGTACAGGGTAGCATTATTGTTGGGCACGGTTATCCAAAATTTGGTTGTTCTATTTTGGGTCAATGGTCTTCGGATACGTACGGCACTGGCCGATTATTAAAGTGAGAAAAGTGGGTAGCGCCAGTCGGGCGGGAGATAAATTATGGGTTATACGCGTCAGTTTTTGATAACTTGGATCCATTTCACGACGCAACCTGAGAACTGCTTATGCTGAGAGTTCTGGCATAAATTGCAGAAAAACGCCGAGGAGGCAATTGCTTTTCTAAACATGGGATTGAAGAAAATAAAGGAAGTCCATTAGTTGATCGAATAAAGATAGCCGTTGAAACCGATTAGAAACCATTTTGAAGGTGCATTTGTATAATTGGGAAACGTGGGGATCAAGACAAGAAAGGTTTTCGAAGAACCTTAAGCGTTAGACGTTTAATGTAAAACCACGGCGGTGCTTGCGACGCGAGATAACACGTCAGGACCGAAAAAACGTCCTGTTACGACAGTGTTAAAATTGTATGTGCATTGAAGCTACAGAAGAGACCGCGGTAATAATAAAAAAAGAACGAAAATCGCGTTAGACTGTGCTGGTCTAACAGAAAACAGATTCTCGTTCGTCAAGAAAATACCAGATTGTCCGTTCAATGAGTTGAGCATAACTGTAAAATAAGGTAAATGCATCTTTCTTATAAATGTGTATTCAATCCATTCCCGTGACTTTAAGGGTAAAAAAGAATTAAACTGTTACCATTGTGGATACTAACACTATATTTCCCGAAAAGATTGCGTTACATTTGCCTTCATCCTCCATCAGCGATTACCAGGACGATTACTAATCTTTCATGGTGGCTCGATGCCTATCGGGATTTCTGGAATATTCGCTACAATATTCTACACGTCTTGATCAAAGCCGCACCGAAGTCGATGCACTTTTACCTTTTAAGTAATTAATCCATTATCAACAAAGACGCGCCTTGACATCAGGAAAGCTGAAGCCGTATTAATCCACTGCGGAAATTGAGATGGTACTTGAATGTATATTTATGAATTATCATGTATATAAAATTTGCAATACCAAACGTTACAGTGAATAGGTTAATTTTTCATTGTTGATTTAAGTTTAAACGACTTAGGTGCGCTTTTCGAAGCGGTTTCGGGGGGTCATCGACAATGTGTGCGCATTCGATAGAACATGATACGCGTAAAAGACGTACGCAACACGAGCTTCGCGTACTTTTATGTACCGGGTGACCCAATAAGACTGTTCCTCGGTCATATCTCGACAACCGTTCGTCATTTGCCATCTTAAATTTTAAAATTGCATTTTCTTTAAATTTCGCTTAATAAACTGAAAAAATTTTTTTCACATTTTTAAAGAGAACCAGTTTATCTATCATTTTCGTAAAAACAAAAACTCAGTTATTTCAAAAACAAAGATGGTTTGTTTGTGCAATAACCTGCTTTAACTTCTTAACCGTTTGACCGATTTTAACAAATTTGGTATGGTTGAAAAGAGTATTCCTTGGGCAATGAGAATCAACCAAAATATAGTTAACTTAGTTGAATCCTTCTCCGCCAGGGGGCTAGTTTTGACACTATGATCCAAAACCCTAAAAAAATCAAAAAAATCAAATGGAATGATATGACTTTTTCTTTATGAAAAAGTAGCCAAATAACATCTAAAGAGGCCAGCGAAAACCGTTTTTCAAAATCTCGTTCCTAACCTCAAATATTGGGAAAATGAGATTAATTAATTAATTAATGTTAGGTGTACGTTAACAGTTAATTTAATAAAAGTAGTATAATATGTATAATATACAATATAATTTTAAGTTTAGTTCGACTTATATACAAAATAAGCGACACTTCCATGTCACATGTGGATACATATTAATAAAACCACTTTTAGAAGCGCATAAAATCTAAGCTTAAATGCCTTAGGCAAAAAGAATATCGTAGAGAGGGTTACATTTTGCATCTGGCAAGGATCGCCTGAGACGGGAAACCCGAAAAGGGAAGGGACATCTTTCGTATCTTCCATTTTCCATAAACCGCCTCTTTATTAGCGACCGCCGATTAACTTCGAACGCCTTTTCTATACCAGCCGGTGACTAGCATCGATCGCCTCATCACCCGAAAGGGGAAGGGACATCTTTCCCATCTTGCATAGACCGCCAATTAAATTCAAAAGTATTTTCTGTATCAGCCGCCTTATCACTCGAAAGGGGAAGGAACATGAATTATGTCAAACATATAGAGAACTACTTACTGTTATTACGGTACAATTACAATAACATTTTTTATCATGGAAAAATTCTCTCTTAAGAAATTGAAGTTGAAATGTTGCTCACACTCTTACCAAATTAAAAGTAATCAGGAAATATAAGTAACATAACCTCACATTTCGACGAAATTGTGCGAACTTTGTATTAATAAGATTCTGGAAAATTCAGGGCATCTCCCGCAATTTTTTGTTGTTGAAAACGCTTAAGGTGGCCTCTAGCCAAATTGATCAATTTCATTATCTAACCGGAGGGGGAGGGGGGAGGCTGAATAACGTCTCGTAACCGGATTTTCATTGAAATTGTGTATTTATTTAAAAAAAATTAGTTTAGGAAATTTACATGCAATTGTTCCTTTGTTGAATTGTAACCTATAACCCTTGCATCCAAACGATGTATTACCTGCATTTGACAGTATTGATTGATTTAAAGATATAATTCAGGTAACATATCGATTTTGATCTGGCTGGGATATTCAAATTTGGCGATTTATCTGAGTACAACGTTCCAATCATTTTTGATGTAATAAATCTAACCAAATTAGCTTTTAACCAATACCACATTATACATAACAGGTACATATTTATATAGGCAAAGCAGTAAGTTTTATACAACGAGTTAATAACCTAAGGAGCAACTGCACGTCAACGAGTCAGTGAGTAAATATTAACAAACAGTGGGGTACCGACGTGGAGGTGACATAGATTGTGAAAAATCACATGATCTTTGACCGAGCGGAATCCTGAATCAAGACAATTTCATGACATATTTTATTAATCTTAGAGGATCTTTATGTGCTTGTTAAATTTTTAAATATCACCAAAAGGCTTTTAGAGTCTCAATAGACATTTAGACTTTAGCGTCGGCGCTCTCATTGGAGATCTGGACAAAACGTATCTGTTGGTGGGATCAAAACTTTCAATCCGAATATCCGAGGACACTAGCAAAAGGAAAATGGAAGGTCTGGACGATACGTGATTTTCGGTGTAGGTACTATCCTTAAAGTTTGTGGGAAAATCCTACTCACATCAACAAGTAGTGTGATAACTGTGCACAACCTATTATAGGTATGTTCGAAATGAAGGTCTCCCAAAAAAGAGTGCTTGCTCAGGGAGAGGCGAGATTTTCGTACAAAATCTCTAGAGACCATTAATTATTTTCGCCATTTTTCATTTTTACGGTGTTTAGTTTGGCGCCGTCTGCTTTAGATTTCCACGTTTTATTAACACAAAACAGATCGTTTCAGATAAATCAATCGCAACAACGTGTGGCACAGATTTGAAGCTCATTGGTTGACGATTGATTGATTTTATGCGCTTGGCATGGTTTTGCGGCAATTCTTTTATTACTCGATCAATTTAAATGTCGCGTATTGGTCATAAACGATTCGTCCCAGTTCCTTAAAAGCGCGGTAGTGTCATTTAACGTCCTTAGATAATTAGCGTATCATTGATAAGTTCGTGTAAGTGGTTTGGGAAACGTGTCACCTGTCACTAAAAAAATCGACTTACCTTTCGCCCTTGTCGTGAACCGGAAAGGTTTGCTTGCTCAGCTGCTGAAGAGACGCCTCACTTTGCGGCTCGGCCGAAATACCGGCTCTTTGCTTCCTAGGCCGGATCCCGCCGATATTGTTATTGAGACCTTTGTGTTTCGTCGTGACCGCGTTAAAATGAAACGGAAAGACGCTCTGAAATTTGTCTAAGTGAGATCTGAGATCGCCGATCTCCGCGTCGCGAATATGCAGAAGCGTTTCGAGTTCCCTAATCTTCTCCTCCCTCGCGAGCAGAAGGGCCTGCAGCTCCTGTACGGATCCCATGGCTAGATCGGATCGAATTTGACGATCGATTAGTATGCTCGGTCTCAAACCCGGTGAGGCTTCCTCGTCGGCTGCATGGTGCCTGGACGAGAAGCACAATGTTTCAAAACACACGCGCATTCACCCAAATTAAGCAACGAAAGTGTGAAGAAGCGGCTTCTTCGAGACTCGCGGGATTAATGAGGGATCGCGGTTCGAGGAGCCACCGGATAATCGCACAATCACCACCACTCGGCCGAATTGCTCAACGGACGGACGATAACGCTACGATACGTTGTCTCAATTGTGATGCGTTGATTAACTACGCCGATTTCTTCTAGAAATTGTTGTTTGGCACAGTTAACCTAAAACAGAAAAAGGCGATATTAGAAATTCGCGCGCGAGTTGCAAAAGGAGGAAAACAGAACCTATAACTACCAAGTAGGTATGGAACTCTGAGTTATCACGTGAAGATGGGGAAGTCACAATCTCTGTCATTAATAATTACTTGAGCATATAAGTGGAACCTCGTGACAGGACATAATGCTATTCAAATGCTTTTAATAAACACTTAAAAGTTAAATTTAGAACGTGTAAATGGGTTGCCGCGGTTATAATTCAAGAGCAGCCATTTATGTCACAGGTTATTCACTTTCTAGGCCGACAATTTTTTGGTAATAATCGTATATTTCGCGACCTACCCTTGTATTTTACGATTTTTTTCAATGTCGTTATTAATGCCGCGAGAATAGTAGAATGAAAGTGTAATTCGCATTTACTCACAAATTGTTGCATTGATTAACCTTTAAAAATTCATGAACGCCGTCCCAAACGAGGTTTATGTCTTTACGCCGGCGGTGGAAAATCCTAAACAATGCCACGAAAGTGAAATGAATCTCATCATCGCATGTTACATTTACGTGCGGTTACTTAACTAAAAACAATACCTGAAAGTAACAGTAAATTTTACGTGCCCGGTATAAATAAACAACCAGCAATTAACATTGAGCCTTTTAATAACATTACGGTTAACATCTCATTTCGTCACACGTGTCCACAACGCCTTTCATAAATCAACTCTACATTGCTTAATTAATATCAAACAATTTACTGCTAATTTTTGCAATACGCACCTGCCATTAACACTTACTTTTTTATACACAGTATATCAAGGTCCGGTTGCTATTCATCATCGATCTTTGTTTTATTATTATTATTACAAGAAATAACTGTGCTTAGCTCTTTGTCAGCCGTATAAAAACGACTGAAAAATGTTGATTTGGTCCAAAAAAACCTTTTTCCAAATGTTGTTTATTTGAGTTGTTCTTCCATGCAGTCACCAGATGTGATACATGAGGCGCCGTTTTTTGTTTCAGGAAAATGGAGACGCTGCCCTCAATAACGAGGCAGCCACTTTCCTGAACCCACAACACCACCCAAGAAGCAGATCTACAGCCAGTGTAACGAACTACCCATTTTGGTGATTGCTCTGTATATGAGAGGCGGTTCGTTACGGAAATCGTTGTACCGAAAACATTTGTGTTGGTTCTAGGAATTGAAGATAGAAGAAGAAAATAGGCTTAAATTTCTAGAGTTGTGTTTCAGCCGCCGCGCCGCTACCGTAAGAAAAAGCTACCGTTTGCAACCGTTCCCGTCAAGATTTTTCAATTTTTTTCGTTGTGTGCGAATGCTTTTGTCATTTTGAAAACGAGGGCGAATTGGTTTTAGTTTCCTAAAAAAACAAGCTTAAAACCAGTCGAGGCCGTGCACCTTGCTATCGCCGACCCCGCCGGTTGATCACAAAATCAATTAGCAATAGGTGTCAAGTGGATTACCGAATTTTGGAATTTCATATCGCCTATTGAGGTGAGTATAATTAGCGGTAGCTGATTAAATGAGATGCAGTAAACAGCATCCGACAAATAAGTCGCGAGGGGTCTCAAAAGAAGCGCTCTTAATTAATTTAAATAAAACCAATTAATTTTTAAGTCATCCGCAGGCCGCACAATTAATTATGGAGGTTTTAATTTTTGGGTGTAGATACCTTAACCCTCGCCTTAACCCATTATGCTGTGTCGACTGTAAAAACGGTCGATCACTCCATGAAATGGCCGAATTTTAGAAATGGTAAAGCCGTTGTTTAGAGGGGATCTTTTGCATCTTCGCAAGTTACGTTTCGTAAGTACCGTAATTATGAGCTTTTCTGTTGCTTTTTTTTGCACAGCAATTTCTACCGCTCCATTTTATAGCAAGGTAAGCTTTTTGCTACTTCCTGTATTTGCTTTCTCGTAGACACCGTGAATTAATTTCTGTTTTGTTGCTTACATTTCCGCTAGGAAGTGTTGTAATTTGGCAACCGCCGCCATTTTGCTGAACCCGTGCAATTCCTGGAACCGCCGTTTACTCTGATTGAGTGTGCCGAGCTTACCGTCGTAGACCGCTACTACCCCGACCTTGACCAGGGGCATTCCTTGGTGGCGCCCGAGTGCAGTTGCCTGCCTCCGTTCCGCCGACTACTACCGTTTCGCGGCGTTGACTTGTAAATTACAATTGGATTTTTTATGCATTACATTCTATTTTGTCAATTACACAGTTTGATTTTCTTTACAAAGAAGAACTGAAGCCACCGTTTGGGCGCGAACTTGGTTGGAAAGTTCGTCGCAAAGGATTTTGAAGAAATTCTGAAGAGATTTTGACCTTGAAAAAATAAGTGGCGACTACACAATGTCAATTTGTCGACTGTTCGCTAATTAGTTTTGCGGCTGTTAAATACTTACTTGTTTGTTTTAAAAACTTATATTTCGTTAAGTTGATACCAAGTTAGCGAGGCACTAGAAAAAAATAATCATATCGCAAAAGTAAGTAGTAAATTTGTCGGTAGATATGGAAGTAAACAAATTTGCCACTTTTTTAATAATGAATGTCGCGCTAGAGTGGTCTCAAATGAGTCACAAGCGAGGCACTACCGAAGAGGATAATAATAAGTAAATAACTAATGCCCCCGACAATAAAGAATTAGCTAATGAAAATTTTTATTAACACCTTACGGCATTGAAAAATCTGCCATGAAAACTCTATCCGGGGCGCACAATGGATTAGATTAAACACTCAGTTATTAATTGACAAAGACAAAAATGTATTCCGCAAAACATAAAACAAGTAAAAAGGTTTTCGCCCTAAGGCGAGTAACTTCAGCGCATTTTCCATAAATTGATCAATACTTCCCCAAAGGCCATACCTATGTGCGCTATGTTTTTCATTACTAGAGGCATCTTTGGTTAAAATTTCAAAGAAATATCTCCATAAATAAGAAAGTTGGAATTGCGCAGTCTGCGCATGCGCACATCTGATTTTTACTATATGCGATATATTTGCCTTTACTACAAGTATCTGTGATTAAAATTTCAACAAAATATATTAATAAATAAAAAAGTTAACATTACGCAGCCTGCGCATGCGCAGTTCAATCGTCAAGATTTTCCTTGACTCAGGTGCCAGAGCGATACGCTACCGAATGCAAAAGGAACGAACTAAATATCTTGAAAACTGTAGGAGTAATTAAGGCCTCGGACAGACGTTGGAAAATGCGCTAAAAAGAAACTGCTGGAATAAAGAAAAGCATTCAAAGCTTATTTTTACACATACCACGCACGCAGACATAAAATTTTCAATAACCCAATAAATCTGGTCGTAAAAATTTTGCGATATTCAAGCACACTTAGAATTGATGCAAACAAGAAACTTCACTTCTTTTCCATTAAGCTGAATTCAATGACACGAACTGGCCTGTTGGATCAAATGACAAAATTTGGTGGCTTTTCGGACAGTAGAACACTTTTACTTTTAATAAATGACACACCTTGTGGAAAGGCTTCAGTAAGCAACAACTACTTCGTTGACTCCCACTAGTTCTGTAAACTTTATTATGATCCCTACGAATCTCCAACCAAATAACACCGTGCCAAATTTGGAACGCTCTCCGACCGTTACTAACACGCAAACAAACAATCTCTGTTAAAAATTTGTCTCCAGTATTAAAAGGATCCACCACTTCCACCATAAAATAATCTCCTCTATGAATTTTCCTCGGAATTTTCACATAAGCTTCGACAGATTGCGTCCCGCGTCCCCACTTACACACCGAAAAACGTGAAACACTTGACCAGATGTGTCTTACTTCTAGCACCAAAACAATTACGAAATCTCCACAGACTTCCAAAAGGAAAAACAAAAACTAAATACAAATTCCAACGAAACGACACACTTTGTGCTTATTCGTAGAAACCCAACAGATTTTCCATCCCACATACAGGGTGGCCCAACCTTATTGAACGTGCTAAAACGAAAATAACGTCTGCAAAGAACCGTATGTAATGAGCCGCTTTTTTGCCGTTAATTAATTACTTAGTTGCGGAAACATTTTCCAAGGCCTGCTATACCAAAATGCTAAAATTTATTAACAGGCCTTTTATCTGACTTAAAGAATCATAAAAAAATGCTACTCAATGCAGTATATATATACTTTTTTTACGGACCATATAAAAAATTAAGTTGATGTTTTGTCCGAAACGAAACATTGCATTAAAAATCTCTCAACGCTGTCGTCTTGTAGAGGTCAAATTGGGTCAATGAAAGACATCAGAAAAAATCCAAACAAAATCGGCAAATTTCGGTTTTTCAGGCATATCTTCGGAAGTTATCGGAATTTTCTGGTTTTCTTTAATTGCGCAACTTTTCCCTAATTTTGTCATCGTCGTATTTGCTATGGTTTGCGAAATCCCCATGATGCACGTCCTTTCTTTTGCACACAGTGTATAGCCATCCATTTATCCATTTAAAATAAGTTTGCATCAACTTCCTGTATAGTCGGAGGTGCTAACAATTTAAAAACATTTTCGATCCATTCCTTTTATCAACAGGTGGTCACTTTTCTGTTTCAAAAAATTTTTTTTGAATTTTTATTTTTTTTAACAATTTACGTATACCGCTTCCTAGCGAACATGAACAAAAGTATGTCTGGCTGTAACAAGGACCATATTGGGGAAAGCGAATACGGTTGCCACGATTTTTTCGAATCTAAGAGTTTCTTTCAGTTCTGTTTAAATCCGAGCACGTGACAAAAATGCAGGTTTACTATTGAGGTCTTTGCGTTCAGAAAACAGGTCTCGTTTCTGAACTCCTGCCGGTCGAGATTTAAATAGCGGGAGTAGCGTGAGAGCTTGATTTCGCGAGTCGAAACGTACGAATTTGAGTGGCACACACTGTATATCCTAGAGACAATACCCAATACGTTGTTTTCGGTAATTTATACGAGGTTGTTAAGAAAATAATTAATAATTAACGAAATAATTAAGCTGTATGTTAACATAACAAAAAAACTAACAAAATTATTGAACAACAAATTATGCAACTGAAAATTTGCAACTAATTAGTTGCAAAAAAGCGACAAATTACTAATATAATCGCCACTTATTGTCTTGAAGTTGCCTTGCTAAGGCGATGAACGTAATAATTAACGTTCAGTTTTCCCTTTGTGAGTACATACCCACTTCCGACACTGTTCTCTAAAATACATCATCTTCGTTAGTACTTCTCCGACCAGGTCTAATGTGGTCCGTACCGTACCGTTGGATGCCATATTCCCTCTGTGAGTACATAGTTCCCACACGCCGTTCTCGGGAAATTCACATTTGAAGCTTGACTCGACCCACAAATGGGTCTGCTCCATCGTTTCGATTTGATTTTCGGAAATATGATTAATTGGTGGTAACACCGTTGTGAACCGCCGATAATGCAAAAAAAAACAGTTTAGCAATTCTGTAACCATTCCCGTAGGGATATTTAAATTATTGTTGCAGCTCGTCATTAGTAAGAGAAAAAATTAATACTGTGTCATTTCCGTTGCGTTTATTAATAGCTAGCCGATTTTAGTTTCGCATGGATAATTTAAAACCAGGATTAAAGCAAACAAGGACGTGCAGCGTGCGTAGATGCCCAGACCTCCCGCTGGACCCGAGAATGCCAATTAATAGTGGGTGTTACTGAACTACTGAATTTTGGTATTTTAACCCAGCCAATTAAGTAAGTATAATTACCGTGTTCCAACAAACCTCGTCTGGGTAGGTTGTGTTTAGTGTCATTGGAAGCGCGCTAATTTATCAAGATGTTTAAGCCGAGGAGATTTTTGTCGTTGTTTTTTACGGCTCATACTCGGGCTCATATAAAAAATAAAGTTGATGATTTCTTCGAAACGAAATGTATTAAAAATCTCTCTTGTAGAGAGAGCTGAAAAAGTGGCAATGAAAGTTTTTTTTCATGTATCCGCTCCAATATCAGCAAAAAATAAAAACGAAATCGACAAATTTCGGTTTTTCTGGCATATCTTCGGAACTAAATCGGAGTTTTCTGATTTTCTTTCCCATGATATATATCCGTATTTCTGATACATATAGCCTTAACTTAAATCACAGTATGGTGACGAGTATTATATTGATGACTACTCCTGTCTGGCACTTTGACGTTATCTCGGACGTTATCATGTCATCGGTGAGTATTTCAATCAAAGTATAATATAGATATAAATATATTTAAAAAAGCACAACAATAGAAGAAAAGGAATAAAAATCGGTAGCCATTACTCCTACGGGTAAAAAATTTTTGCTTGTCAGGACAACCAAATTGGAACACCCTGTACAACAAACATTTTCCCGTGTGTTCTGAAATGGTTTTTCCACAGCTCGAAATATCAGTGTAAAGAAAAAATCTGGTCCATGGTGGTGCATAAAAATGGTCAATAAAAAACAAAGTTGGGGGTGGGGGTCAACATACCAAGAGTGACTTTTTGTATAAAAGTGCAATCCTCATTCCTAAGGCAATTAGTAGGTATACATATAGACACGATTATAGACATTCAATATATCCATTTCGCAACTTTCTATGCATGTTTATTGGGAAGAATTAGGAATTATTTTTAGAATTTCCGTAGACTTTAAATATAATTGTAAAAGTGGGTCATTATACGTCTGGGATTATGTGTTAATATACAATGCTAATAAATTTGCATTATTGCTTACGAAGTGCTTGCAAACTATAATTATCACTCGCAAAAATTTGCACTTGGCAACCAATTAATGATTCATGGAAATGCGCAAGAAATAAAGGTACAACACGACCTAGCTAAACCTATAATAATGTGACATACTCCATATACATAATAGCCTTAATTTAGAACAAGGTTAGGCAAATTTGCACTATTTCACAGTTTCTGTCAATATCGTCAGAATTTGTGGTAAAATTCCCACACGGTGGACCTGGGCAACGAAACGAAAGAAGACCGACAGTAGGTAGTAGAACTTGGAGCGCAAAACAAGAATTCGCACTTGTTAACCTTGTATACCTAGTACTAACAAGTTAGATACAGGGTATCTAATCAGTTTGACAATTTAGTACTTATTGTATAACATGCGATAAATTTCAAGTCGAAAATAGTTACGGCAGTCAAACAACAACAATTGCGAAATGTCGATTGTTCTTTAACATAACGGGGGGACGCCACATTACAACGACCTTGACATCTAAGTATAGTTGTTTCTCGAACATTATTTCCACTAAAAATAACTTTAGAATATTTAATGAGTCGCCGCTGATAAACCTGCTCTTCTGATTAATAAACCGCATATTTATACACTAATTATACGAGGTACAATGCAAAACAAAAGAAACAAAATAAAACCCACCGTTCCAAGAGATTCGATAAGCGCTACCTCCCTCCCCCGACACTGAAAAATAACACAATAAATTTGCACGTGTTGAACTGTCAACTGGGTTTAACTAGGAAGCCATTTAATTCTTCTTCTATTAATAGTACCATCCCACAACGAATTAACGAAACATTGTTTTAAAAAACCGCCCTCGCCACCGCCGCGCATCGCCCGTCAACGAAAGGCACTTCACATATTTAATAATGCAAATATTTCGTCAAATCACTCTCTATTTTTTCCGGTAGGAGCAACACAAAATAAACATCGGCTACTCCCGCTTTTCGCTTCCCTGAACCGAAGCGGAATTCTATCAACATTCGAGACATTCGTCAAGAGAACTGCCCCCACCCCGATTCCTTTATAAACTATTAACACGTGTACAATCGAGGCAACAAGTGGCCGCCGCTGGTTTTTAAATCACGTTCTCAGTACATCGAATCTTTCAAATAGTTTCGCCTAATTATTTCGATTCAAATTGATATATGTTAATTAAGTTCAATTTTGCATGGAATTCGTAACGAGATGGATGTTCTTTTAGAAACCGGTTTTGTGTGTTATTTTTATCACGCGAACTTCTGTGGCCTTCCTCTCTTTAAACACAATGGCTCGCATAACCTTGAATCCTTCGCTAGTAGGAAGTTCGATCACCGAATTGACGTAACGATTTCTGTCATTAAACGATTTTTGCGTTAACCGCCGCTGCGGGAATTGTGAATAATGCGTAACCACCGGTTATGACGAATGTATTGTCATATTGCCCTATTTAAATAAATCGCTGTCATTCCAGAAGCGAGGACTGGATGACTCAGGGAAATGTTGGTCAAATTGTGGTCTCAACAGACAGGGCTTTCATTTCAAAACTCACACCACACATTGTCATTTGTAATTTCGCTAGAAAACCAAAAATTACAAAAACAGAGGAGTACGTGAAGTTTTTTTTATACGAGGAGAGTTTGATTAGTCGGAAACTTTTTGAATTTCCCGCGCAGTAACTTTAAATGCAACACTGCTCGCGTCAACTGTCATCTCAATTTTGGACAAGCTACGCTACGCCCCCACCCCATTTAGTTTGTGTTTAACAGCTAGTGAAAGCCGCCATCTTCGTGAATTTTAACGAAAATGAAAAAAGTGAATTTCGTATTTTTTGCGTAAAAAACCATCACCTAAGCTAAGACAAGACTCGATAAATACTATGGGGACTTTGCACAATCAATTTCAATGGTTAAGAAGTGGTTTACTGAGTTCCGTTGTGGTCGAACCGACACAAATGACGCCGAACGTAAAACGTTCAGGTTGCCCAAAAGAGCTCGTCAGTCGTCACGCCAGAAATCGTCGATAAATGGAATGATATTGAACTTGGACGATCGGGGAACAAGTGCGTAAGGTGATTGAGGCGGTATGCATGTCAATTGAGCGGATACATTACATTTTACATGAATATTTATTTGGACATGAAAAAGCTCTCCGCACGATGGTGCCGCGATGCTCCCAGACGCTTCGTGCATTCGGCGAAGGTTCCCACGCATTCAACGAATATTCGGAGTTCTGGGTAGTTTGGCAAAGAACTTTGGCAAACTATGATATCGCGCCAGTGCAGTAGGTGTGTTTCAGGTTGTAAATAAGGAATAGCGATTAGCGGTGATGCGGTAATTGCCACTGCCCGACACTGGTATCACCCAACTTAGTTAAAATAAACTTGTAACAAATATAGCAAACGAGCTCCTGGGTCACTGAACATTTAATAAGTTCTTCCTTAGGTGATGATAAACAAAATACTGAAAACAGAATTGGAAAATTCGAAACCGTTCGGGAGTTATCTTGCCCACAGACGGGCGGACAGAAAGTCCAAAATCATGAATTCGCTAGGAGCTCTTTAAAAAGTATGGGTAGTATAATAAAGACTGTGAATTTCTTTGGGTGAACGTGCTAAAATGTATCGAGCTAAAATGAGATTGTGTTGAAAAACGCTTATATGCCCAAAAAATATCTCATTCAAAGTCACAGACTTATCGAACTGCCCTCATATATAGTGTTTCATAATTGAAAGTCAATATTTAAGGGGGCGATTTTGGGGTCCATTTTAAAAAGAAAACTTCATATGAACCTATGTCCTAAACGTCTTAACTTTTGAGATACTAGGTGGTACAGTTTTCAACAAGTTAAAAAGTAATCGTAAACGATTTACATAAAGCGCATTTCCACTTGCATTCATTTCCCATTTGTAAGATGCAACTTCTGTTAAAATCGTAAAAATCCGCCCACAAATATGAAAGATAGCGTTGCACATGGGCAATCCATTGTTGACGTGCTACTTCAATTTCAGTTTATGAGAAGAATTTCATTTCAATGCTTTTCTAAATAAGAAAGTTGGAACTGCGCATGCGCAAACCTAAATTTTAAAACTAATGTTAGATTTTCCTTTGTTCCAAGCGCCTAAGTATCAAATTTCACTTAAATAGTTCCATAGATAAAAAAGTTGGCACGGCGCATGCGCAAAATAAAATTTTGAAACTGGCGCTAGATTTTCCTTTATTCCAAGTGCCTATGTATCACATTTCATTTAAATTCTTCCATAAATAAAAAGTTGGCACTGCGCATGCGCAAAACCAAATTTTGAAATTGGCGTTTGATTTTCCTTTATTCGAAGTGCCTATGTATCAAATTTCGTTTAAATTCTTCCATAAATAAAAAAGTTGGCACTGCGCATGCGCAAAACCAAATTTTGAAATTGGCGTTTGATTTTCCTTTATTCCAAGTGCCTATGTATCAAATTTCATTCAAATACTTTTATAAGTAAAAAAGTTTGCAATTCGGTTTATAAATGGTCGAGATGCGAAAAGGGCACTGTGAATTTTGAATCGATTCGATTCAACTTTTGGCATTGCGTATTATATGGTTAAAGCTATGCCCATATTGAATTTCATGCAATTCAGTTCATAACTAACGGAGATGTAAAAGCGATCGAACATTTCTAAACATAGTTATCGTTCACACGGACAGATAGATGGACAGACAGACAAAGGAACAGACGGAGAGACCAACCGGCAGGCGACAGATAGCAATGCAAAATTATAAAAGATCTCTAGGATCGTTAATAAACGGGCAAAAGTGTAAAATTATGGAACATATAAAAAACGTTTTTTTGTTTTTTTTACAATAACTTTTTTTGTAAGCGGTACAGAAAAAATTCCTTCCTTGGTACAAGACTCGACACCATAACGAACCAAATAGCGAAAAAAGTAGAACAATAGCTCTTAAGATAAAAAACTAGTAGCGTCGCAAAGTTAGCGGACGGACGGACGGACGGACGGACGGACGGACGGACGGACAAAGTGGCCACAATAGCGCATTTTTTTTTATTTTTGTGGAAATGCGCTAAAAATAGATCATTTATTATTAATAATTATAATACCACTTTAGATATTTTAATGAAATTTGCCGTCTATGTGCTATGTATCCAGAGCCATTTTTTAACGTACCGCATTTTTTTAATTTCCACCAGTGGCGTTCGTACGGAATTTCACATGCCTATTTTGGCAGACATTGATGGTACGCCACTAATTTCTCTGAAAATAAAAGTTATTCTTGAAATCCCCAATCATTTCTAAGCAAATTTGAACCCTTTGTTTTTTTTCAATCCGATGCACGGTCTTCGCTTAAAAAAATAAAAACTCGTCAACAGAATCCTCGGGTGCAGTCTACTATAATGATAATGATAAGTAATCATTCTTTTTTACTAGTTTTCTTAATGTTTTTTGAAAAAGTTCCAAAATTCGAAGCATGAGCAGATTTGATCGCTTGATTTTTTCAATTCGCCGCACGATTTTAAAAAGAAAATCTTTTTCGCTGCTTGATATTGTCATGATCATGCAGAGAAACGGTTTTTATTTTTTTAAACGAAAACCGTGCATCGGATTGAAAAAATCAAAGGAGTCAAATTTGCTTAGAAATGATTGGGGATCTCAAGAATAATTTTTATTTTCAGAGAGATCAGTGGCGTACCATCAATGTCTGCCAAAATGGGAATTTGAAATTCCGTACGAACACCACTGGTGGAAATTTAAAAAATGTGGTACGTTAAAAAATGCCTCTGGATACATAGTACAAGATGCTAAATTTTATTAAAATATCTATAGTGGTATTGCAGATATTAATAATAAACGATTTATTTTTGAAAATTTTACCACCCTGTATCTCAAAAGTTAAGACGTTTATAGGTTCATATGAAGTTTTCTTTTTAAAATAGACCCAAAAATCGCCCCCTTTAAATATTGACATTCAATTATGAAACACCCTGTATAAGTCCCCAGCCATTCGGCTATTCCGCAGTTTTTTTTCTTTTTTAATTTTTTAATTTTTGTTTTGATATGCAGATGTTGGCCATATCATTTTTATTTATTTTAATTTTCAATTAAAACTCAATTATTGATTTTGATTCTAAGATGGTTCTTGTCTTTTCGTATCAAAATATACGAAGTACTTACTCTCAGTTCTGTTTTCCAGTTTTGAAAAAATATTTGCAAATATTTCTATAGTTCCCCGATTCTAACTAGTTCTTTCATTTTTTCTGTCACTTAAATTTCTCGTTCAAGTTTCTATTCTTTCTCCACATTTTTAATTTTGTTGGCTTTAGCCGGCTGTTAAAATTTGTGTCTTTTTAGTTTTTATCACTCGCACATTAGTAAATGTTGAATTCTTGTTTTGATTTTCACTTTTATAGGCATAATTCCTGCTATTACTGTAATCGAATTGGAGTGGGTGTAGGTTCGAAATATATTGCTTAGAATTTCTCTTTATATCCTTTTTGGCTGAATTGTATCAGTTTTCCCCATGCCCCCGAAGAATATAATTTAGCCGGTTTGATTATTCAAGTAATCAAAAAATATTGTAACGGAAACGCTCCAGACATGACGTCGCCTTTGGCGCTCTGGAATTTTCTACGCGCGCGATAGTGGGATATGTATAGGACTATTCCAGACTTATCCGGAAAATTACGCGAATGTTCTTGACTTACATTGCTTGCGTGTATAAATGGTTGCGGACTGAACATCGCAAGCAGTCTACTACCGAACGAGATCGAGCGCGGAAATATAAATTGCGAAGTGTGTGTGATATAAATAATCGATATAAATTGTACGGTTTTTATAGTGTTTTAGTTTTGTTTAATAAATATTGATATAAATCGAACCCGAATTTATAAATCATGTTACAATATGATATAGTTTTAGTTTTTTATTTAAACCTTAATTTTCTTAGCTAACGTAACTAAGGGGCGACCTTGTTTGTGATGCAAGGTGCATGGCTATTGCGATGAGATTAATTTAATTGTAAGATGTGTGCAATTTCGTATTATTGTTATTGCAAATAAAAATTTGTTAAGCAGTGTAACCTTGACTTCCATACGATATAAGTTAAATAACCCGAGTGGAAAGGAGAGGAAGAGACAATAATGTAAAAAAGTTTTCGCCTTAATGCGTGTATTTTCCATGAATATTGATCAGTAGTTCTAGAAGTCATGTAATGGACTATGTAACAGATATGTTTGCCTTCATTACAAGAGTCTGTGGTTAAAATTTCATAAATATATCTATAAATAAGAAAGTTGACATTGTGCAGTGTGCGCATGCACAAGTCTGATTTTTTACAATATGCGATATGCTGGTCTTTGCTAGAAGCATCTGTGGTTAAAATTTCTCAAAAATGTCTCCACAAATAAGACAGTTGACATTGCGCAGACTGCGCATGCGCACATTAACCGTCAAGATTTTTCTTTGTTCAGGAGCCAGAGCGATTAGTTACCAAATGCCAAAAAAACGTATCTTGAAAACTGTAGGATTAGTTAAGACCTCGGAAAGTGGCCATAATAGCGCCTTCTAACATGAGTTGGAAAATGCACTAAAAAGAGAGAGAGATTCCATATTAAAAACTTAAGTTACTGTTTAAAAATGACAAATTATTCATTTTAAATTGACTGAAGAAGACAAAGCAAAAGATTATGTACTTTGTACTTGCATATAACGTTTTCCTAGTTCTTGAACATTCGCATTTTTTCCCATTTTACACAATATTCATACGCGAATGGGATTCACAGACAATATAACTATTGGTAATACCAAAGACTATCCAGAATAGTCTTTGGTAAGGTAATACGTGTCAACGCGTCTACGAACGATTGAAGACCAACAGGAATAAGACACCGCACGTTAGTAAGGTAGGTATTGCATTGAGGTAAAAAATGACTCCCCACTTTTTTGTCGGAAAACGTTTTGAAGCTCTTGAAATCTCGATGATGTCGATCGGGAACTAATGAACCGATTGAAACCAAATTTTATACGCATATTCTTAGACATAAAAGGAAGAGCTGAAAAGCTGTTGGCAGAATCGCGCAAGCGCAAATGTATCAAACTTTCATTTTCGGCTAAACGGCTGAACCGATTGGATCCAAATTTGGTACACATATTCTTAGGCATAAAGGGCAGAATCGCATATGCGCAGGTGCGGGTGGTATCTGTGCTGCCCACAGTAAATTTGTTTGTTAAGTATTAATATGCGACTGTGCTTAATTAACGCTGCACTTAATCCGCCGTTAGCAACCGTTCTCGTTGAGATATTTTAATTGTCTTTGTTGCGTTCGAAAGCTCTTGTCATTTAAAAGAAAACGGCAAATTAACATTTTAGAATTTCGGCCACGTTAAGCCATTATAAGTAGGTTTTTATTTCCTAGGGTAAATTAAAACGAGCATTGGAACTGCAAGGTCGTGCAGGTTCACGCCGTTATCCCAACAGTCCAATTAACAACAGATGTTAATTGGACTACCGATTTTGGAAATTTCAATCCGCCCAATTAAGTAATTGAAATTACCAGCAGCTAAATAAATGTGTTGCAGTAAACGTCATTCCACATAGTCGTGTGGGGTGTCAAAAAAGCGCTCTTAATTAATTTACAATTTTGGGACAAATTACATATTTTTAGGACGTCAGCAGGCCGCACAATTAATTAAAATTGTAATTTGAACGGTATTTATCGAATGCGACGTAGAATTTCCTACGTTCCCTCCATGGCGTAGCTCACTTATTTTATAACATTTAGAGGGAAACTTTTGCATTTATTGGTTAACCGAAACGTAAAAGTCTTTTGCCTTCTGCATCTCTTTGCCTTTATGGTGTTTAACAGAACTTAAATCTTTTGATTTCTGCCTTTTGCATCTTTGCAAACTACGTTTTTAATTCTTGCCGCTCCGTGAATTGGAAGATAAGCTTTTTGCTACTTTCCGTTTCATGAATTATAAGGATGGAGGGGGATCCGGGGATATTGTCTCGCTTTCCTGCATTTCCCGTAGAAACCGCTACCGATTCGCTTCGGGAAATTGCCGCGCACTTTAAATTTGTTATCGCATTCAGCCGTAGCCGCCCACCGCTTGCCCTTTAGAACTCCTGGGACCGCTGCGTTGCGGAGGGAAGAGGTGGAAGTTTTGTTGTTCGACGACAACGCCCGCCCGTGCACAGTCAACCGTACTGGACAGCTCTTGGATGATTTTGGACGGGAGAAAGGATCACCCTCCATACAGCTCGGATCTAGCGCCAAGCGACTTCCACCTCTTCCCAGCGATGAAGATCTCGCTCGCAAGACAGTCCCGATGCGGAACTTTAAACCGGCGATAACCAGTGGTTAAAGTCGCAGGCTGCGGATGTATACAAAGTTGAAATCAAAACACTTGTACCGTACGTACCACGCTATGATAAGTGCCTCAATATCACGAAGTTATGAATTAAGATGGACTGCTAATGCTGAATTGAGAAATGACACCTACATGGGGGCAGCCATAATATGCACTCACTTGGCGCGAAATTCAAATCAAATAATAAACAAGCATTAACCTCACGTTTTCTAAATAAATTACTGTGACACATGTCCAAGGCTGCAATAGTCTCAAAACTTGAGCACTAGAAAAAATTCCCCTAGAAAATAACTAAAACGTGCACATCAAGGCGGCGCCCATGCTAGGGCCATTTCTACCTCTATGCATACTGTTTGATCAGCAGTCCATCTTAATTTATAAGTTCGTGCTCAATATGCATGGCGACTATGTTGAAAAATAGCCTAAGAGTGTAGCTTCCAAATGTATTTAATAAAAGTTGTTTCTTACACTTTCTTAATTTTTAATTTCAAAACGTTTGTTACTTTCTGGATAGCCCTCGTATGAATTTATGAATAAGCTAGATGGCTAGATCTTCTTTTTTCGAAGTCCACTATACTATCCTAGGATTGGTTGGACTTAGTCCTTCACGGCTTCACCCTTTCTTATCCTGCCGTAATATTTTCATTTCCACATAACTGTCCTTGCCTACGTCTCCTAACTCGTACCATTGTATTTATATTCGTTTATAAATACAATGCTCGTACTTAAGCCTCTGATGGCGTCCGACCACTCTCTTGCCCTCTGAACTATGTGCTCGTCGAACGTCGAAGAATGTGAAAATTCTTTTTGGAAGGATACGACGTTCGTTTGGTCAACTATAAAGAAAAAATGAAAATTGTAATTTTACCCATGTTGGAAAGGGAAAAAAACTGTATCAAACAGTGAAAATCCAATATGGCGACCATTTAAAATAAGAAAGTTAAGGTCAATCTCGAAAACCGCCATTTTGAAAAAAATTTTCTACCTCCATTGAATCTCATCGAATCTTGCAACTTTTATTTGAAACTTTTTTCGATAGCTCCCTACTTGAACTTTTCAAAAATAGCGATTTTCACTTTTTTGTAATTATCTACGAAACGATTTACTTTTTTCAAAATATCGCATCAGCATCAAAAACTATTCTTCGCCAATTTAACCGAATATGTCAGTATAATAACAAAGATAGCAATTATAATACCCAATTGTATAGTCCATATTATTGTATTGGTCAAAAATCGGCTTGCTGTAAGGTGTGTTGCCTAATAGAAATTCTATAGTGCATCTAGCTGTTGCCACCGACAATACACGGTGGCAAGGATCTAGCAATAGGAACATCAATCTATCAATGATGTGTAAGGTACCTAAAATCATAGCTAAAATATAAATTATATACAGTGGGATCCTATGGTAACATTTTTGCTGAAGTCGATAACACAGCAATCTGGCCAGTGGCTTGTTGGGCTTAACTGTTGGTTTTTATTTGCATTAATGAGCACAAAATACCATATAATAATAATATAATAGGTAAATCAGATTAATTTTATGTTTTCGCCAAAGAGCATGTTCCTCATCCTCTTCTGGCAATCTTTACAGTTGCTTTTGGCATGTCTTGGGAAGTCCGTTCATCAAAGGGAAATAATTAGTTTTCAGTATAACAATTGACTCAGCTCCTCATTGGGTATGGGCACCCCCTGTGCAATAACTGGATTTGAAAAATTGCATATGTAAATATGGTAACTTGACAGATAAAATTATGCTGTAGATCACACAGTTTATAAACAATTTATTTATGAATTCTCACATTAATTGCAAGGATTATGAAATAGGATTCCTGATTTTTTAGCGACTTTCACACACTAGTTAGTATGTCCAATGTAAATGATGGTATAGTGTGCTGTTGTAGCCATTTTCAACACAAGTTTAAAATGAATCAATATTTGCAAGTGAAGTTCAGCTCCTGAAAATAACATTATAATCTGGCTTTGATCAAGGTAATTTATGGTCCTAGCAACTAGTCTTTGGTCCTAGTTATGATAGTGGTGACATGATTTTATCTGGAAAACTGATTAGAATGTGGATATCCCGGCTCAATCTTTAATGTTAAACAAAAGTATAATGGCACTTTTTAAAATTACAATTCATATAATCTCACACATGATATAAGTAAAAAATTATCAAAAAATAATGCCAAAATAAGAAAATTATTTTGTATATTTGTAAAATCCCTCCCCTGTTTTACGTCCAAGCTTCTTCTCCTCTACCAGCTTCCTCAGCACATTGCTTGGTTTAAACGACTGTATTTCTGGATATTTCTTATGCCAAGAATCGAGAATGGCCAGAGTGGTATCGTGTCCCACAAAATCTGCCAACTCAATTGGACCCATCGGATATCCGGCACCAAGTTTCATTGCTGTGTCGATATCTTGCGGGCTTGCATCACCTATAAGTTGATTGATTGAGGGATACTCTGAAGGGACTCTTCTCTTACCTCTATCCAGCAAATGCATGGCCTCCGACAGGTACGGTACGAGCAAGCGATTAACAACAAATCCGGGAGTGTCTTTGCACGAAATGCACACTTTCCCCAAGGCTTTACCGCACGCCATCAATTCTTTATACGTTTCCTCGGAGGTCTCGGGAGTTTTGATGATCTCCAGCAGTTTCATCACCGGCACAGGATTGAAAAAATGCATACCTCCAAAACGGTCACGCCGTTTCGTACACGATGCTATCTCACCTATACTCAACGAGCTGGTGTTCGACACGAAGATGGTTTTTTGGGGAGCCGCCTCATCTAACCCTTTAAACAGCTTATGCTTAACCTCCATATTCTCCACAATTGCCTCGATCACCAGATCCGCATCCTTAACAGATTGGTTCGCGTCAGTCATTATTTTCATACGCCCCTTCGTATCCCGAACAAATTTTTCACCCTCTTCCGGTTTATCCTTATATAACTTCTTCGAGACTCTACTTAAACTATTAGCAATACTTTCTTCAGTCTTCTTTAAAATTTCCGGATTCAGATCCACAAGCGTTACATTGTGACCCGTTTGAGCTGCAACCTGTATAAAAAACAAAAGATAATCTGCGGTATAAAACAAAGGAAAGCTACCTGTGCGACACCCGAACCCATAAGGCCACCTCCGATCACAGTAATGTTTTTAATTATATGCATCGAAGGAGTCGTAGAAAACGAACGTTTTAACAAGTTTAATGTTAGAGACATTTTTGTTGCCGCACTCCACAAGCTCTAATTGAAAAGTAAAAGCTCTGGATGAAGTGGAACCTTGGATTCCTGATTATAGGCTAAAGTCCATCCCCAAGAATAAATAAATACCCACCCATCCTTTAAAACGAGTTTTCAATTCTTAATTCTCATTAAACAACATTCTTAAATGAACTGATTTACAATTTAATTCATTTCATATTCAAATAAGATCGTACAAGAATAAAAAGAACCAAAAATTAAAAAGTAGACCAAAATAAAACGAGCGAAAAGTAAAATACACTCATATACAGAGTGTTCCGGTAAATACTGTACAGTGTACAACGCCTTTATCCATAGCACACACAGAAGAAATCGGCATAACTGAAAGGGGGAATACGTTTGGTCGAAATTCTCCCTAAACATGTTTGAAAATAACTCTTCCAAATTGCATTTTGACACCTTTCATATGGCTGCATCTGCTTGACGAACACGAACATGCATTATTTGAAATAAAACAAAAATTGCACTCAAGTTTAAACAAAAAACTAAAAGTGAACCAAGGATTCTGTACAAAACTATCGCAGAAAGATAAAAGTGCTTATCATTTTGAGATGCCCGATATCCAAATTCAAGTTACAAAAGTACCGTTCGTTGCCATAAATTGAGATACCGTTTACAGGCTGAAAATGCCCTAACCACGAAAAGCAATGCAGACACTATACAACAATTCGATATGTATCAGTAACTTTTTAAACAATTGTAGTACCTATACTTAAACCCCCAGGTTCTCCGCTAACTTCACACTACAAGAACCCGGCAACGTTTAAAAATGGCACCCGAATGACTATTTTCTCCAAAACTAAACAAGATCCCGCTTAAATTTGAAAAGTACTGGCACGTGATCAAACATCTAAGGCAGGGCCCCCTTACGTTAGTCGTAAACAACGCTTTGACCTGAAGCACAGTAGGGAAGGAAAGAATAAAACACTGAAATTGTGAAAACTTTGTTTAATAATGATCGCAATTATTAAGATTGTGAAAGCTCGGAAATTTTGTTGAAGTTGAAAAAAATTACATTGCAAAAATAAACTTTGACAATGGTAGTTCACCGAATAAAAATAGAAATAGGCTGGGAAAAAAAAGAACTTACCAATAAAACAACCAGCCGTCAAATTAATATTGAATTGTGTAGTAAAATTAATTGTTTGTAATGATGTGAATGCGTAACATACAATTATAACATCACAAAAAGTAGCATGTAACTTCAAGAGGTAACATATAGGTTAAAAACAAGTTTTGGGAATTATCGATCAGGTAAGCAGGTACCAAGATTCTAAGAAAGGGTGAAATACACCGGATGTGACTTATCTTTGGTGCAATAAAGTCCTTTTGTTAAAAGCAAGATGGAAAATTACATGGTCTTATAGGCAAATTAAACTAGAGACAAGATATGTGGAAGTTACGAATCGTAACTGATTTATCGCACATAGATTCTAAACTGAAGAGCTTTGATTAGCGTAATCCCGCTCCTGCAAGATAGGTAACTCGCCCCTGGTTTCGGGGTTTCGAGCCTACAGTTGAAAGTCGAAGACAATCACAGAATTAAGTGTCGTAACTCAATTTTGACTACAGTTTTTACCACCCCCGTGACTGCTTCGTTCACGGAGAAAAATGTTAGTAACAAACAAGACAGTACATACATCAAACGAATCTGTAATTTCCACATATTAAAATAAAATGATCAAAACTTATATGAATGTTACTTCAGGGACAAGACCAAGTAATCAACATCAATAAACATAAATTCAAGCATTACAACAAAAACGTAAACAATTACAAACAATAGCATAACGGTACCACATATGTGATTCTGCATTGCGGTTAAACCAAGTAAATTTCAAAAACAAAGATTCAAACACACTAAAAATATAAAATGAGGCATACAAAACACAAATACGATATAGAAATGCAAAGACTACTACCTGCATTAAAAAAACACAAAATAATAACAAACATTTATGGAGCGACGCGTACACGACTGCCATTCAAGACAAGATGCCAAACGTAACCTCCGTTCGTGCTCTCCAAATGGCGCAAATCGCTTTCCCCTCCTAAAAATTGCGTGCTTGGAAACTCTCAAAAATATGTGCATCGTCGGAAGTTGTATATACAGGGTGGAACCTTTCATAATGAAATTCTTTATATGAATCCAAGATTTGTCTTGAATTAGATTTGCTTATGGTGCAGTTTGAGGTTCATACGGGTTCATTGTAAAATGTAGTATCACTTTTGCATTTGCTTTCAGCGAGTACACTTGTTTTATTTGTGAAATTCAATGTCCCGTGTAAATTTTGTGCTGTACTTTGTGATGTTACAGTATCCGGAAATTTTCAGTTTGAATCGTTCCCGCTTTTATCCATTTAATTGAAGGGGAGGAACTTAAGCTACGCCACTGGAAATGTTTTACCGCGAATCTTAACAATTCAAATTGCACAAGGACGAGAGTTTGTAAGTGATTATGCGCGTCAGGTTTTTTTACTAGCGATGTTTTAATCGACGCAGCAGAATTATTATTAAGGTACGTAGTTCTGAGCGCGTGCATTTATTCAAGAAACTTAAATATAATGAATAAAGTATACTTCTTTATTTGTTTTTATATTATTTGTGTGCGATCGATTTAGTAGATAAGTACTTGACGTGATAAATTTAATTTTACAAAGCCGTATAAAACCTTCCGCAATGTTTAATGTTTGTGGGCACTTTCTCATGTATGTGGAAGTTTTATTGAAAATGTCGCTTTAATTATGCACAGTATAGGAATTAAGTTAATTAATTTGTATCCTGTTGTGACATCATCAGGGTTAGCTTTATCATGTGTTATGGGTAGGTTGATGGTACAGGGTGTTAATAAAATTAAGGGCATATCATAGTTTTTGATACTTTAGGTAGTATCATAGGTGTGGGTGTCTTTCATTTGAGATAAATGGTGTTTAGATAATTTAGAGTATTTTGGAGATTTTGGTGTACGTAGTTAGAGCGCCATATAACTTTTGACAGGTATTTTATATTTGAACAATTTGCAATTGTTTTATGTGAGGACGTAATATATTTGTAGAATTTGTTTGCAGTGGTATTTTGATGCTATCGTATTTTGCATAAATGCCGTGCGTGATTATTTTTCATGACTCCTGAATATGTTTATGTTACATTTGTTATGGAATGGATCGCAAAACCCCTAACCGCCCTTACTCTATTTTGCAATGACACAAGTCATGTGTTAGCAAACGGCGAGTGCTGTCGCCGGAATGAGCGCGGACCTGGTTCTGCAGACGGAGAGCCGATTGTTCCTTGAAGTGCCGTCGAAGCGGAGTTCGGAGCTCTGGTTTGAAACGTTTGCGGCGGTTGGTCGTTTTGACCAATGAGGAAACGGCACGTTTTAGTTTGTTGCCGGATGTGCAAGAAGCGCTTGGCCACACCCCTATATATTATTACAATGAGACAGGTTATGTCTTGGTCAAATTGGCAGACGCCTGAGCTCTACCCATATTCTCCGTACCGTGAGCTCTTGGTGTGAATATGTATCGGGCTGCGTTACATAACAGTCTTGGTAAATAAATTCATGTCCGCGATAGATGGTGGCACAATATTTTAAATATCGGTGTAAAACTATGATTACGAGGGAAATGCAATTCCCGAGGGAGATCAAATTCTCCAATGTTGTTACACCATTAACATTGTTAAATGCAAATTGGAAAAGAAGTGAGAAGGTAAGTGAGTACATGTACATATTCTGAGAGGTTTTCAATAGCTCTTTTCCTTGTAATAAAAATGAAGGCCCTAGAGCTATTCTCGTGTGATTAATATAGGGCAACCCAGATTTGCATTTGGAATTGATTGTTTTTGTAATTATTATTTAATTAAAGTTCGCCCTCCTCCATTTCTTGCGGTTTATTTATAACGATCGTGTGCCATGGGTTTCAGTTTTGGCGGGAGTTGAAAGGTCACCGTTTCATATCGGTGCAGGACGAGATCTGTGATTAGATCGGCTTACGCGCGAGAGAATTCTGGAAGAGAAGCATTCTTGGTCTTGTTCACCACTGGGATAAATGCTTTAGAAATGGAGGTGCCAGTACCAGTAAACGAGAATTGACCGCGGGTCGAGTTTCATTTGACTGCGCCTTGTACTTAAAGTAAGAGACTTCGATATGTTTCTAGAGAAACGTGCCATGTCTTTGGTTTTAAATACTTTCTATCAAAATGTGTAGGAACTTTATCGGTAAACTTATAAATGCTGTCTACCATACAGATAATCAATAGTTCAAAAATTTTTAATTATACTTAGGATAATGGCGATCTAGAGGGAACAGTGAGAGAGTTTCATTCCCGAACGAGGAGCCAGTTCTCCGCTCCCGGGGGTGGGACCTTGCCAACAAAAAACCTTATTATGAGGTGAGTGGTGATTCACAAATTTCCACATATTCCGTAATTTAAACTCCATGGACATGTGATTTTCCATGTTGCTTTTAACAAAAATGGTTTTATTGTCCCAAAAATGAGTCACCTGTTGTACCGTGTTATCTTTGAAATGGAATAATGCGCAGAGAGTGAAGACAAAGATTTAATAATGAAAAACGAAAATTCATACATTACAAAACAAACGACATTTCTTGTTATAGCGACTACATACTTCATTCGTATATCTAACACTGTTGTCAAATATCCTAAGATCTAACTTGCAGGTTTGCCACATCATCATTATTTAACAGTTTAACATACCGCTCAACAGCTGCCTTGTTTTGTTCCCTACTTGTACCAAAACTAATTCTTTGTTTTGCAACTTGCTTTTAACGTTAACCTGTTCTTGCAATCATGTTTTGTGTATGGGATTTAACTTGATCATGTTTGATTGACAATCAATTAGTGCAGCAAATTATCTTACTTAAATGTGGTCGTTAATTTAGAATGTACACAATTTTGATTATGGTATTTGAATTTGGAGCCAATGTTATTTTTTTAAAGAATTATGTTGTTAACTTTGTTTAAATAGTCCTCTCTTCATTTATGTCTTGTTATCTCCGGTTGTTGCGATAAGAAGCTTTATTATCTCTGCGTGGACCAATTTGTTTGTAGATGAGAAGGCTTCGCTTCGCCGATACGAAATCACAGCTGTTTAATTTATTGGGACACGCAGTTAGAAGTGGAACAGAAAGGGAATGGTTTTAAATAGCAGAGGAAGACATTAATCGTTGTTTTTTTGGTGGTGGACGTTAATCCTTGTTTTGTTTTTTGTGTGGACGCTGAAACGTAGCCGCGTATTGTTTGCCGTTTGATGGCAAAAGGACAAATGTTTATTTTTGGTTTTCCGTGAGATTGAACGAGGTGTTTTTCAGGGTTTTTGAGGTGAAAAAATGAATAAGCGCTAGTCGAGGTATTGAAATACCAGAAACAAATCCCATTCCCTAAGATAAAAAATCCACACCCATCTGTAATGTTCAAATTAAGAAGCCGCCAGTATCGTTGTGGCCTGTGGGTATCGATTACCGACATCCTTATATGAATACTTCTGCCATGTCGCTAATTGTCGTAAGTACGAGTAATAATATCGAAATCAATAAGAAAGTATTCACCATTTATTTGCTATATTTATAAAACCCTTCCCCAGTTTTACACCCAAGTTTGTTTTCCTGCACCAGTTTTTTTAGTACACCGCTTACTTGAAATGCCGGGTCATTGGGATATTTTCTGTTCCACGTTTGTAAAACCGCTAAACTGATGTCATTACCGACATAATCTGCCAGCTCAAACGGTCCCATGGGATAACCTGCACCCAGCTTCATGGCCAAATCAATATCCTGCGGAGTGGCATCCCCTGATGAAGAATTTTGCACAACGAACGTGACACTGACAGATACGTACCCCTCTCTAGCATCTTCATAGCCTCTGACATATAAGGAAGTAGCAACCTGTTCACAATAAATCCTGGCGTATCTTTACATGCAATGCAGACCTTTTTCATTGCTCGACCACAAGCCATCATCTTATTGTGAGCCTCTTCGGATGTGTCAGGAGTTCTGATGACCTCCAACAGTTTCATGACGGGCACCGGGCTAAAGAAATGCATTCCACCAAAACGGTCCTTGCGTTTAACAGGGGCTGCTATCTCCGATATGTTTAATGAACTAGTGTTCGAGGCGAAAATAGTTTTTGGCGGCGCCGCTTCGTCCAAAATTTTAAATAACGCGTGTTTGGCATCGATGCTTTCCACAATCGCTTCGATAACCAAATCCGAATCTTCCACCGCCTTGCTAGCATCGGTCGACACTTTTAGGCGATCTTTGGAGGCGTAAATAAACTGATCGGCTTCCACCGAATTATCTCTGTACAACGTTTTCGCTACCTTAGTCAAACTAAGATCGATTTGTTTAACGGCCCTGTTTAAAATTTGAGGGCTTAAATCAACAAGCGTAACATTGTGGCCAGTTTGAGCGGCGACCTCAAAAAATTAAACGTGCATTTCATAAGTAGCTCGATTGGGTTACCTGTGCAATTCCTGATCCCATAAGACCACCTCCGATTACCGTTAATTTTTTCACAATATTCATTTGCACAGTGGTTGTAAATAAGCGCTTTCGAATGAAAAAAGACATTTGTTATTATAGAGAGAGTGAGTGAGAGTGACTAACCGATTAATGTCGACTCACTATCAGTTTTGTGATGTCGAATTATCTTTAAATATTTGAATTGTATATCAAGGTCTTCACCTTTTACTATCCACTTCAGTCGAACACCCGGAGACTTGCAACCAAGTAAGTTACGCCTAAAATAGGCAACCCATCAGACAGTCTTCTTATTACAGATTATCCTAAAAATGGGACGACATACGTATTTCGGTAAAAAACGAAAATCCCATCCTTAATTATTTACGTAAACGTCATTGTTTTAGGCAAGCAATTTCAGGGTATCGGCAAATTTAATAAGGGCAGGAGGCGCTTTTGTTTATTATGGTAAAAAAAGCATGAACTTTGTGTGGTTGCCCCTGTACTTTCAACTAGCAACAGTACAGACATGCATGTCAGTCGTGGACAATTTGGTAAGACAGTTTTCGGCGCAAATTTGTCAAATTTACGTTTTAGTGTAAAAAATAATTTCAATTCAATTATGTGTTTTTCTAGTATTGACCAAATTATAAAAACAGTTAAGCATTGGGTTACCGAGATATAAAAAAATAATTTTTTTAATTGAACGCCTTGTATATGAGGGGTTGTGAGGGCACCCCTTCCTTGTCACATCGATACAGGTCGCAATTTTGATGCTATGGAAGTTTAGGTATTTAGCGTATATTAAAAATTGGGACCGTATTGTTTTTGCTGAAAATACGAAAATTACGTTTCCCAATTTCGCCGTTTTTTTCGAATTTTTCCGAGCAAATGCCACCGTAATAAAAGTTGCAGTTTTGATGGGATCAAACTGAAATTTGGTTCTCATTCAGCTGTTACGGGTGTTTGGAACCATATTATTTTTGTTTTTCTCCGGGGTTTTCCAAACAAATGTTGTTTACGTCGTTACTGGTACGCCATTGTTTTGTTTTGCCCGTCTGTGTGGGGCAGTGGAGTGGAATCTAGACTGCGGCACTAAGGGTCCCTAGTTCGAACCCGGGTTCGGGCATGGATATTTGGAAGTGTATAGTGGATTGGGTACAAACAAATAAATAAATGTGAGTGTGCTACAATAGTAAATGTAATTTATTAAGTTGCGCGAATATTGAAAGAAGCTGCTTTATCAATAATGTCACAAAGTTTAAACGTTCGGCCGGCCGTTCGCACGATAACTCGAGAATGCTTTAACATATAAATCTCAAATTTGGTACAGATAAGCCATGAGCCATGACTTAAAGAAGATATTATGCTTCGGAAGTTATCCCCTGCAGCAGGACTAAAAAGCGTGCACCCATATATCTGCAGTGCATAGGTTTATTACGTATTCATTTGATTATAAACAATAACCATAAACAAAATATATACACGCTAAACAACTAAACAAAGTTCCAATAAATTCAAACCAAAACACGAATTGGGGAGATTGGAATAGGAACGTTCAGGGGTTGACGGTGGCTCGGCGATGAAGCCAGTAGATTCTATGTACGTTGGCGAAGGCTTTACTTACGTCCTACGAGTAAAAAATAACTTCGGCGGCTTGAAAATGTTCCTTTGCGTAAATTTTACCGCTCGTAAACGAACGGCCTTGTTATTTTTTACTCGTAGCTTACGTCCTTAATCGAAGGGCGTGGGGGAACTCAACACGTGGTTGCGCCAGGCCTCTGTCTACCTACTCCTAGTGTTTGACTAAGCGGAACTTAGAATGAATGTTCGTCGTCGCGTCCTGTTGAGTTTGTGCTTTTGCTGTTGAAGGATTATTGTTGCTTCATATTATTCCTTTACTGGTTCAGGATTCTCCTGGGCCGCTTGTTTCTTCTATTCCTGCTGTAGGGGCGACGCTTTTGATGTGTTATAGGGCGGAGTTGTCGATATCTTGGTATACCTTTTCTGCCAGTTGGCGCGCGTGCTCTTTGACGATGGTGATTGCGTGATCTGCAATGAGCGAGGGCGGGGCGAGGCACAACACGAATTGTGTCCAAGACAAGGATGTCTATAATGGAGATCTCGGAAACCATAGATGGTCAAATTCGAGAAAAGATGCGCAATTAAATAGTTCTTATCGTACTTTAAAGAAAACAGGAAGATTCCGATTACTTCCGAAGATATGGCAGAAAAACCGAAATTTGTCGATTTCGATTTTGTTTTTTTCTGATGTTACTTCCACAGATACAAAATAGTTATTTTTAGGCTATCATCACAAAAACGTTGATTTTGTGGTCGCTTTTGCGGCCATAAAGTTTCACTTTATTGTACGCTTCTGTCAAACTTTACTTTATTGTACACATCTGTCAAACTGTACCTACTTATTTGAAACTGATGTGTGAGAAACAGTAATCTGTTTGATACAAAGCGTCTATCTGGTCTAGCCCCATCAAGGATAGGGCCATCCACGTGTGTTTTTTTCATTTTCGGACTTGTAGGAATGTTTCACACTATTTTGCATAATCACAATGTTCACATTTAAAATGATAGTTTGACGTTTCAATCTTTGCTGCTTGCAGACCTTTTTGAAGTGTAGAACCAAAACATGAGGAAGATGTTATTGCTTACATTATTATACGAAGAATCACCAGCAATTAACTGAGAACACAAGTAGCTACCTATATACCTACCATCAAAGTAGGTAATCAGGTTTCTAATAATTGTACAGCATGTTAACTATAAGGTCATAAGGTCTTGGAAGCCACAGTTACGAAGGACCTATTGTATTTGACATTATTAAAATCTTGTGCAACGGAGGAAGTTGTGATTGTACTTTTACTCTCAAACGCCTGCTCTTATATCATACCTATATGACTTAGGGTCGCAACGCTTGCAGCTTCCAAAATTTCATTTGGGGTATCTGAACTGTCGCTATCGCCCATTTTGATACGCACAAAACACACGCAAAGATGCTAATTATAATTACATATGACAGGAAATGCTTTGTTTTTAATTGTCTAAGATAACTATGATTTTCAGAAAATAGTTATTTGTTTCATTAGTACAAAAAATGTCAGTTTTCGGGACGAGGAAGATAGTTGCTGGACGACGCGTTAGCGGAGTCCAGCAACCTTCCGAGTCCCGAAAACGCATTTTTTGTACGAATAAAACATAAAATTTTTTCTCCAACCCCCTTTACTTCAAATTATATTCGAATTTAGATTCAGTCACAGTTTCACTACTAGTATAAGAACTTCTGCTTTCTTGTCCTCACGTGTCATGCCACTCTAGTTTTTAGGTTAACTTATAACCTATTCGTTCTGACTTCTTACTTCTCACCTCTCGCGACTTTGTAGGGAGCAAATCTTGAGGTAGCATGTTCTGCTGTTTCTATAATCTCTGGCGGAGTGCAATCCATGTCGCTATCAGTTTCAGTCATTTCTATTGTATACACAATTATGTTATATTTTGTATTGAAATAAAAAACTTACCATACAGTTTTTTAATTAAAATTAATTGCAATTAACTTTTTCAAATTTTGAATTCAAAATGACAGATAATAGTGCAATGAGTCTGAAGTAGATGGCGTTACGCGCGACGGCGGGTTGTATACGTATTAAAATTACGTTCACCAAATAATATGTAAATTACGTTCCACATGGTTTAAATAAAAATAGCGAGCGTAAATCATTTTCAATACATGTACATACGTATAGGTAACATCATTATTTGCATTGAATATGCAAAAATATTTGATTTGTATGTATAGAAATATCTTACAACCTGCAATGTAAAACGATGTCAATGTGACATATCTCCGTGATTGTAATTTTTTAATTGGCCAACTTTCAAGGTCAATTTCTTTTTGGTACTAGGACCAAAAGTATCCACTTTTTGTACGGTTGCCATGGTGAAAGCGATTAATCCGCAAAACGTCAATTTTACGTACCGAACACTGTCACAAAACAACGTCTTATTCAGGTGGTTGGAGAAAAAATATGTTTATGAGCAAATTTTTGAATTCTTTTTTGATGATCGCCTAAAGAATGTTGTGTGCACCTTGGCCAAAAGTGATTTGTTAGGCCTCATCTGAATTGCGGCCTCGGCTACCGCCTCGGCCGCAAACAGCAGCTTCGGCCAAAAAAGATCACTTTTACGGCCTTGGTACACAAATAACTATTGTGTACCAAGGCCGTAAAAGTGATTTTTTTTGCCGAAGCTGCTGGGTTAGAGTAGGGCTCTTGGGTCTACGATGGTAGGGATGATCAGATATGTCCCAAAATGTATATATAGACTTTGCACCCCCCCAAAATGTCAAATGTAAATTTTCAACCCCCTACGGCAACGCATAAGGGTAGTTGTATAGGGGTGGGGGATTGAAAAGAACGTTTTAGGGAAAAAAGAGCGTCGTCATAATTTTTTACGTCATCTTGAACACGTGTGCAAAATTTCAGGTTCCCACGAGTATTTTTTTATTTTTCTCAAGAGGAAACTTTGAAATAATCTCTTGCGGGAACTTTCAACTAGATGTGGGGTCTCGAGTACTTCCAGTCTGCCCATTCACCCGAGGAAGGTGATCCTCCCTTATTAGGGATTAGCGGCGGCTGACCTATATAAGCGACATAAGCGTCCACTAAAACCACTAGTATCATCTAACGACCGAGCGTCTTCGGATAGTGTAATATATGTTCTTTTAAACCGCCACGTTATTCTACCTGGTAACATCATTGTCTTCCGATATGAAAATTCTCGAGTATATCGTTTCCAAAAATGTTGGTGGAATTTCGGTTTCGGTCTACTAAATATCGCCAGGAAAACGATTTGCTCGGTAACGCACTCTTTGGATGTGCGAAATAAAGTAACGCATCTTCCAAGCCTGAGCTGCCCTTGAAAACATCCGTTTTTCGAATGAACTTGTATTTATACCCTCTCTCTTAGTGTCTATTGTAATTAAGTTCCGCCCATCTTACAACGAAACGTTTCCAAGGTTTGCGCAGCTCTTTTACAAGGTTTTCTCCATTCTACTTCGGATTGAATAGACGCACTTGAACAGACTCTCCTTGCGGATATTTCATTATAGTGACTCATTTAGTCACCTTATCCTGAATATACATACGTAAAGCAGATTTTATGGCCTCGTTTTATCTACATGTTGTGATAATCCACCCATATGGTTAGACAGGTGTGTACCTTTACATCTGAAACAAAAATATGATATGCTCTGTATATAACCAATCGACCGTTTTGCGCAGATGCCGAATACTAGGGGATTTTCGTAACGAAGCTAGGAGAATGAAGAAGATGGGGACGAGGTCGACGTAAGGCATCACGCGTTCCCGGTTTTTATTCTTGATTATTTTGGGTGTGGTGTTTTGAAGGTGTATTTACAAATAGTAACCATTTTATTTTTTCTTGTACTAGTTATTAATAATTGAATTTCTTGCCACAATTTGATGTTATTTACATTTTGCTGATTTTGCATAAACTACGATATCTGAATCATGGCGTACTCCATGTCTTCGTTTTGAGTACCGTTATCTGAATCATGTTTGTTTGTTACCTAATACAGTTCGATCTTTCGCTGTATCTGTTGCCTACTCGTCTCGTGCGGATTGCAGTTCTTAGCATCTTAGCAATGCAGTAGGGGCCCTCTCATTAACATTTCCACTATTTAAAATATGTTCCGCTTGAGCGGTAATCGATTTTCACGTGAATACTTGCTATTGGCATTCTCACATGTACTTTTCGTGTTAAATAAAATTATGTTAACTGAAGGCTGGAGTAGACGATTTACATGTTTCCTATGTACATGCAATTTATTATTTTACGAGTTATGTTATCTCAATTGACTGTACAGGTATTTTGATGTGTTTTTGTACTGAATTGATTTATCATGTTTTCTACTGCATTTATGATGTCTTGTGTATTTTGTTTTTATAAACAGTTTAATTGCATTTGATTTGATTATCTGATTTTTATCATACAATTTGAGATGTTTTATTTATGTGTATTTTCTCTTGCATTTTATTGCTGTAGGTGATTTATTTCATGTATTTGTGTGGCCTATGTCAGGGTTTTAGTCCCGTAGAAGGTTTCCCTGGCATGATCTAGTTGTGTGCGTAATATATTTATTTGTTCTTGTCATTTCTTATGCACAAAAGTTCTGTCTCTTATTTAATTCCCTTCCCGCGTATGTCTCACGTCCCAACACATACAAGAACCGATTACACGACTGCCATCCAAATTCGAAAGTGCCGTGAAACATCTATCGCTTCGACTAGAAAGGTAGGTGGCTCTGCTTGTAGATTTTTTTTGCCCGAGTTGCCAACGGTAAGTATAGGGCAAGTCAACGTTTTTAGTGTCGGCTTGATAGACCCCTAGGAACATTGCAATGTGAAATAAATTGCATTTCTAACCACGATTTTTACTTTACGTTGCTAATTCCCTCTTAGCTTTCTCGCGGTTAAATATAATACTAATACCCCAATTCGGGTCAAAGTAAATGAAACAATTATCAACTTTCTTCCAATGCTAAAATACCTACAAATAAGCGTACGTTCAAAGTTACATGCATACATAAATATAGCTTACGCAATTTATCAATCAGAAAAAAATCTGCACAGGGAAATCCCGTTACATTCTTAAGCGGTTGGCCGATTAATTATCGTGCCTGTGACAGGAGCCTACTAGAATATTGTCTGTTGCATTCCGAGCACTGGGCTTAGAAGTTTTCTTTTGTTTGCAGGTTTATGGATCCGGGCACTGAGCTCACTTCTCTGGATGACATCTAAGCTACATTAAGGTAAGCGTTGCCTTATTATGTTTGCTTTCGGATTAATTTCTTTCTGGAAACTTGTTTTACGGCCAATTAATCAATTAAAAATCGATCATTCTTGATTGGAATTTTGTTAAACTGGCATATTTCAATTGTAAAGTCTTTAATTTTAAATTTACGTAACTTATAAGTTACTATATAGATACTATAAGATTGTAACGTATCTTATAATTTTGACATTTGAATATTTTACCTTGAGCTAGTTGGCCGTTTATGTGGCGGATTTGAGGAAAGCAGCGCCAACTCTACCTACCCGTTATGGAATGCACCATCTTGTTGAAACCAACAGTTTCCACCTTTGGTTTTTGTTTGTGTATCCTATATCGTTGTATTCGTAATAAAAAATGCTGTGCATTTTTTACGGGTCATATAAAAAACAAAGTTGATGATATAATTTCTCCGAAACAAAACATTGTATTGAAATTGCCTCAACAGTTTCTTGTATAGCTCAAAGAGTGGCAATGGGAAAGTGGTTTTATTTTATTTTTTGTATTTGTTGTTGTTGTAAATCAGCATATGTATGATGAAAGCTCATTTTTGGTAATGCAGATCAGTATTTTATTAGCAAAGTTTAAAATTATCGATCTCACGAACTCAAAATAGACTAGAGCCTGCACGTCTACACTGCATCAGAAACCTTTAAGTGAAAATTTGAAGTATCTAGCTATTGTAATTGCTGAGATCTCAGTCGGACAGCCAGCCAGCCACAACGATATAATAGAATTTTCCAAAAATGCGCTAAAAATAAAAACGAAATCGGCAAGTTTGGGTGATTCTGGTATATCTTCGGAAGTAATCGGAATTTTCTGGTTTTCTTAAAAGTATGATAATAACTGTTTAACTGCGCAACTTTTCTCTAATTTGACCATCGTCGTTTCTAGAGTGGTTTCGGAGGTCCCCATGATAAATAGGCATCCTTAACGTGGACAGAATATATATCTAATGGTGGTGGGCCCCATATTCCATACCATCTTCATCTTCATCGACAACATAAATTGAATTTTTAACAATAAATTCAAAAAAAGTACATTTTAAGTTTTGGGGAAACGATAAGCATGACGATTTATTACCACTATTATTGTCTTGCATTAAATATAATTTTAAGAGTGTTATGAGCAATGAACAAAAAGAGTGCCCATATTCGGACCGTTTCGTCTATATGAGTAGATGACCAATGTGACTTCTGGCGCAGGAAGTGACGTCACACCAATACCTATGTGACTTCTGGCGCAGGAAGTGACGTCACACCAATCAGAGACGAGCTCGTGACGTCACAGCCAATCAGAGACGAGCTCGTGCGTCCGCCATCTTGGATGTTATTTTGGAATCGCGTCATCGGTCACGTGATTGCTATAGACAAAAATTTTTTTTTTTTTTTCAATCTGCGTTGGGAATCGAACCCACGATACGTGAATTACGAATCTGCCGCCTTAACCATCTGAGCTAAGCGAGGCTTTGAGATATGAACGTTTAGCAGTTCAAGTATTGTTAGAATGGCCGTATAAGCTCACAAGCCACACAACGCTACGGAGAGCGTTGGGATGTTTGCGAGTTGTAGAAGGGTATAACGCGGGGGTGTGTCGCCGATAGGGGCTAGGGGCTAGGGGCTATTTGGCGGGGAAGCGCGTTAAAATGATAAAATAATACGTACGACGCTCGTGTGCGAAAAATAATTATTCATATTGCTAACTAGAAAGGAAATGAGCTTATCTTCCAAATTATCATACTTTTCCTTCCAACTGCATAGCGATGTTAAGAATTTGAGATTTTGGCATATGATTTTCGCTCTGGATAAAATGCTCTCTTCGCTAGTAACACCTTCGGTATGTAGAATTTTTGCCAACTCACGCGTAAAGTCATCATAAAGACAATACATCGCATAGTGATTGACGACATTCAGTTTTTGAGTAATCACTTCGGAAGCGTTAAATATCATATCGACTGCTTGCTTGGAAAATAGTATAGATTTATCTGATTCGCTTATTCGAATACATCTAACGCCTTCTTCTTCTTCCGCTTCAAGTATTATTATTTTGGACTGGGTAAAAATTTCATGCTTGCTCCTTCTTTTAGGCGTACACTGCACCATATGTTTAATTAAGTGTTCCGTTTTAAAATTGAATATTTCTTTCCATTCGCAACTCTCAAATTGTAAATACTGGTCTTCATAATGCGGAGGACATGATATTTGCACGATGGAATCGAAAAAGTACTCGTCCAGTGTAACGCCAACTTCGAGAATAATGCCTCCGTCTAAGAATAGCGACCATGCGGATATTAAGGTTTCCTTTCCTATAAACATACATCTTTTGCTTCCACCACAATCGGCGTTATTCAATGCATACCTTGCTCCTCCTCTTTCGATGATTCATTCACCAATAATTTATCTACCGAAAGCGATGACTTTGCATCATCATCATCATCTTCGCTACCCCATGAATCTTGCGATTCTTGTTGTATTTGTGCACTCATCTCGATATAAATCGATTTCTTACTTTCTTATTGCTTTTATACCTTCTCTTAAAACTATTTTGGAGGGGATTAAAAGCAATCCATCATGCGCAGTGTATCTTAAAGGTATAGGTATAAAACTGAGAACGAGGTATGCTAAAAATCATTGCGTTAAATCCTCATATCGAACGCTAATGGATCGAATACTTGCCAACATCGCTCAGCGAGAGGCTCAAAAGGAGTCTAATTATATCGAGACGAAGAGCGAATTGTTAAGTTTAAGTGTAGAGGAATTATTGAAAATATGGATCAAGATCCCCAAGGTGTTGCAAAGAGACTGTGAATTACGTAATCGAATACGATGTACAAAACATTGGAACCAGCCGTGGCAGCGCACTCACATCGATGGACCCGCTCCGCTAATGATTTATTGTAATGATTGTATTTCGTCAAAGCATATTCGAAAACCAATATCATATTAGAATGTAATATTAGAATAATGCGTCTAAAAATAAAGCATAAAGAAGATAAGATTTTTCGCACACGATTTAAGCGTCTTATCATAGCTGCTATAAATAAACACTATTGCGAGATTGCAGCTTCCCATCCTAATTATAATAACAAACAACTAAATTTCGCGCGCTGTTACTAAAGAAAATATGGATCAAGATCCCCAACGTATTGCAAAGAGACTGTGAATTACGTAATCGAATACGATGTAATCATTTTAACGCGCTTCCCCGCCAAATAGCCCCTAGCCCCTAGCCCCTATCGGCGACACACCCCCGCGTTATACCCTTCTACAACTCGCAAACATCCCAACGCTCTCCGTAGCGTTGTGTGGCTTGTGAGCTTATACGGCCATTCTAACAATACTTGAACTGCTAAACGTTCATATCTCAAAGCCTCGCTTAGCTCAGATGGTTAAGGCGGCAGATTCGTAATTCACGTATCGTGGGTTCGATTCCCAACGCAGATTGAAAAAAAAAAAAAAATTTTTGTCTATAGCAATCACGTGACCGATGACGCGATTCCAAAATAACATCCAAGATGGCGGACGCACGAGCTCGTCTCTGATTGGCTGTGACGTCACGAGCTCGTCTCTGATTGGCTGTGACGTCACTTCCTGATCCAGAAGTCACATAGGTATTGGTGTGACGTCACTTCCTGCGCCAGAAGTCACATTGGTCATCTACTTATATGCATGGTAGGTACCTGGCACATCTTCCTTCCAACGCAAAAAATTCGTCCCACATTCAAAAATTATCGGTCACAGACACCCTCTCTCTCAGTTTAAATGACAATAACTTCTATTTTGCGTATCATGAAGCTTAAAAATTTCCCGAATCCTACATTTGCGGTTCTGAACCCTGTCTGCACCTCATAATTTATTTTAAGGCGTGAATTATGCTCAATAATAATTTAAAAACGCGCGTGTTCCACAAAATTGATATTAAACTTATGTCAGCGGTTTTTCGAAGCATGAATCATGATAGAGCCTGTGGAAATCTTGCATTATAATTATTTAAGTTTATGTAACCGGACGACCATGTAAAAAATCTCCAAACATGCGATTCGGTCATCCATTTGACCATCATCATAACAAACCGCAATTAATAATTGAAACACGTTGTTTTATGCCACGAGATAAACAATGAATTACAAATTAACGTACGACCTAAAAACACGCGTAAATTTTTCATATGTATTGATTTAAGACGCACTTGAAGAAAAACAGATTCGCTTAAAATTAAAGGCGCTTTGTTTAAAGTTCAGTTTGAAAGTTAACAAAAGCTTCATTTTATTTATAGCGGGTTTCCGTTAGGTATATTTTTAGGGTATCGGTAGGTAATAAAGGAAAGGCCGACATGGGCGTTGAGAGTTACGTAGATATTGTAGGTAATTTATCAATTGAAGTTGAAGAATGACGTCAACGTGTCGTGAATTTTTCAAACATTTTCATTCATTTTCCTAGAACTGATTAACCTTTACCTTACACACCTGTCTACTCTAGAAATTCCTCTAACGATGATAAAGTAATTTGGTATAATGTTCAGTGCAAAACAATGAAATTGTTTAAATTGTGGGCCTTTTAAAAACCATTTTCCGTTTTTTTCTCATAGTGTGAGAATGAGAATCAAACAACGTGAAAATAGATCCAAAGCGAAACGCATGTGCACGATTTTCCCCCTCGACTCTCGCGAGCTACATAAAAGCGTGAGGTTCAATTTATTTTTATATTCGCACATAACCCACGCACAGACGTAGAAGAAAACTATCAAATTGTGAAAGTGCAAGTGAATTGTGTAACATATTGAAGGTTCTGCAATAGGTAGGATCAGTTTGTTTTGCCCTTAACTTCACCCTTATGTTGTTTCCGCCCGTTTGACGATTCGAGGTTGAGTTCAGTAATCGGTGGCTTGGAAGGGAGGGAATTTCAAATTCAAGTGCATCGCATTAAGGTCGAAATTAATTGAGCGAGCCTCACTAAATTTTCAATTTTCGAAAATTTTCAACGGCTCGTTTACGATCGGTTAAAACCGATTAATTTGGAAGCCGTTTTCATTTTTAACCTTGTTGCCGGACTCATTTTATTTTAAGGTTAAACTGACGCGAGCAACATTGCAACATCAAGAATATCACGCTTATTTTTAATACAGTTGGGGAGTATGAGTAAATTGCAATTTGTAAGTTTAATTATAACGAACTTTTGAGCAATACTCTTATGAAATTACGATTATAAATAAGCTTGGCGACTTTCATTGTTAATCTTTCATATATAATTAGACGTGTATATGCTATAAATATGTCTCGACTCTTCAAATAGGTTTGGCGAGTTTTGGCCTCCAGTAGGCCATAGAAAGTTTTCGCTGAATTAAGAAATGTACTTAAGGTTAAAGCAATTCCTCATGCGAAGCAAATGCAAGTTTTAAATTAATTTCATTTGACATTTGAATTTCGATACCTACTGTCGCTCACTGAAAATTGCAACACCGCACCATAAAAGGCACATTTACATTTAGGGGTCAGAAATGTCGTCAATTGTCTACTCCCCATCGAAATAAAATTGTAGGGTTCGGACTAAATTTACTTGACTGAAAATGAATGCCTTTTTTAACGGATGCGAGTCTGTCAGTTTTTCACTAAACTTTTATAATCCGCTGGAAATTTCGTGGAGCGATTTGGCAACACTGCATTCGGTCTTCAGTCGTAACAGAGGGTGACCTTTGCAGTGTGCACGCGCGTTGCTGTATATCATGCGCTTCTTACCACCTTCCACTTGCACACACTGTGGTCATCAGTGGTCACGTATTAAATCCACGGTTCGCTGTAGTGATTATGAGACTGACCTTTAATTATGACACAATTGGAGAAGAAACTAGAATTTCATCGACATCTTTCCTAAATCGTTTTTATCAATCAATATAACGAAAATTAGACCATCATGATCAAGGCTAGGCATTATAAAGTATATAGAACGAATTAAATGTCCGAAATGGTATTTTCGTATCACTTCTTGTTGGTAAAAGCGACCCTACATTCTAAACTTAAATGGGACACCCTGTATATTTTTACTTTTTTGGATTCTACAATTAGACACCCGGAACGTTTTCTTCAGTAAGTGCTACGAGGTTGGCCGAAAAAATAATTCAATTTTGTTTTTTACTCTAGGTGGCCAGCCGTCGACTAAAATCATTCTTCATTGGCTCTACGTACAACAAGAATCGATTTTGCCTAATTGATCCAATAACATGGATTTTAAACAATTTTGAAATGAGATTACAGTGGCTCATCAGGTTACCCTGTATATTTATCTTTCAGATTACTACTGTCATTTTTATGTTACCATATCGGTTAATTAGTGATTTTTTTGACCAACCTGGTATAAATTATCAAAAACGGCTGTCACGTGTAAAATTGTCTGTAGAATCAAAAAATGAAAAAATATACAGGGTGGACCGTTTAACATTTGAAACGTATGTTTTAATAGGAAAACATTATTTAGAACATTCAATTTACTTTTATTCATATTATCTACCAAAACTATCACCAATTTTACCAAAGTTACGGGGATGAGTTTACTCAATGGATAATTGCTTTATCCATCTCTATCTAGACACGCTGGAGGAATGGGTGGGACTATGCCACATTATCCACAAATCTATTAATAGTGGATTTATAAAGTTTTGACTTTTATTTGAGAGCTATGACTCCAAGAATCCCAAAATTTGGGCTCTTATCGAAAATTTAAAAAATGAACTCCCGTTGTGGCGAGCGCGTGTTCAAATAGATTTCCACCGAAAAATGCTGATAACTTCTTTTTTTAAATCGTTTGCAAAAAGTGCCAAATCTAATTTTGGATTTGGTATTTTCATGTTGAAAATTTCGTCCAAATAGGGCCCAAAAATGCCACACAGAACTTCAGGGCTTAAAATAAGCAAATGCGACTGTCACCCGTCTATGACTTCGTCACTAAAAATGACTTCAGAAGACCACAAAAACTAGTTACAAAAAAAATTAATTGCATTTATTTTCACAAACTTTTTATATTTTATTTATTAATAAACACTCGGCTTGTACAAATTACAAGAGACTCAAAATTTACTAGGTTCATAAACATCCGTAACAAAATTGAACCCTAACTTATTTCTAATACGGAAATGTCGAAACACTCGAAAAATAGTATATTAAAGTACAAGTGTCATTTGACGAAGATTGTCGCACGAGGTAGTTTGCCGCATAAGCCGCGTAGCGGCGAATGCGGCAAAAGCCGAGTGCGACAAGTACACAAATGACACGTGTGCTTTATACTATTTTTTCTATTTCGACTTTTATTTTAAATAATAAATTATACAAATTATAAATATTGCCTTTAGGCGTTGTTAGGCAATTTTAAACTATATATAAGGCGCTTTCTTTCGGCTGCTTAGCAATCATGATTTCAAAATCGTGATTCGTAGGATCACGTTTTACGAAAGAACGCGCGAATTTAAATCAAAGTATGGTTAAGTTTACGTAGTACACATTTGCATTCGAATTACGCATGTTTTGTTTGGATTATGAAAATAATTTAAATACAAGTGGGAGTACAAGTACAATTATGCCCCTCTTCAGTTACAAATATTGACTAATCGAACATTTGAGCAAAAATATCCTTGCATTTATAGGTTAGGAATTCGTGATCATAAAACTTTTATGTTCAGTTTGTTCACGATTTTAGCAATCATGATCATAAGATCACACTTCGAAAGAACGTGATTTGACAATCCAAACGCGTTTGGATCACCGAAAGAAAGCGCCTATATTATATCATTCAGTGTATGTTGGTAATAGACACAATTCATTTATTTTCACGTTGGCTAACCTGATTCCTGTATTTTCAAACTTCAAACTTTTAATTATTTGGTCATAATTCCATTTTGCGGCAGTTATGATGAATACGGATGACAAATACGTCTCTTGTACCCCACCAGAGACCCAAGAGATTGCCAATGAAGCGACGTTAAATTTACTGCCTGTAAAATCGAAAGTAAAGTACGAGGAGTACAAAATTTTTGAAAACTGGCTGGCCGAGAAGGGAGTTCAAAAAGTAAGCAAGAATGTACTGCTGGCATATTTTACTACGCTAAGTAAAAATAAAAAAAGTTCTGCCCTTTGGAGTATATATTCAAAATTAATCGGAATTAATACAATCGGTCAAGTTCCTCGTACGTTATTTACACTTTACAGGTTATGTTTAGTTTTGATTTGACGGATACCGTTGACAGCAAAAAAGCGAGGGGTACCAATCCAACAAAATAAAAAAAATAATGCGTTTCTATTTCTTTCAGCACCATTTCTGTCTAGAAACGCACGCAAACTGGGCCAATCAAGTACGGTTTCGGTATTGTTTCCACATCGAAATAGAAAAAGGTCATTTTAGTACCCCAATGTCGCAGTTGGATTGAGAGACCAGCAAACAAGTAGTTAAAGAATATTTTCCGACACTTGAGGTTTTACGTCTATGGGAATACTGAGTAGTGTTGCTAAGTGGGTTAGAATGCAGGAAAAGTTAAAATGGCAAAATTCGGCTAAGCGAGGTCGGATTCGATGGCACCACCACTAAAAAAATGTACCTTTGTGCCGCCTATCTGTCTATGTCTGACTCCCGGTTGGAACATAAACTCTGTGATTATGACCCCACTTTTCCAGTTTCATTTGAACATTAGAATCTATTTTTTCAACTCAGTTAGAAACTTCATTAATTAAATTTACCTTAAAACGAAACAACTGAGTTAATACAAAAAATCACATGCAATATAATTCTAAAATTCAACCCCAATTTTCTCTTAAAGACTCGGTTGACTAGATATAACTCAAATATTTACCTTAAATGTAACTTAGTAGACAACACGACTTTTTCATTTTAATACGACTCTTCCCTTATTTTTGCGGTGACCTGGATTGCAACGTCTGTCTTTATGGAACTGGGTTTTCGTAAGAGGATCTCTGTTTTTTTAATGGAAAAATATGCCGTTTTAACAGGTATCGTAGACAGATTTAAGAGCGTGTTTCAATTTTTTTTTACGGTGGTCAGTCCCGTAAACTGTATTTTCGCGAATTGACTCAATTTAAATTTTTTCTTTGAGTGGAGGTTAAGCTCCTAGGTCCTTCGCGATTTAGTTAATTTATTCACCTAATCCAAAGGTAAAACCGAGGGTAAAACTTTCCGCACAAAATCTTACTTAATCTCTACTCCCTTTTTTTATGTTTCCGCACGCCTCAAAATGGCGCTAATGAGCTCAATCGGTCATCTTTAGTTATTGGGCAATATAATTTGGTTGACCCAACGCATTACGCACGGGTTGAGGCTATTCAATCGCAACCCACGGCCGGTTTTAAAACTTTTAAACCTAGGTATTCTGATTGAGCTGTTTTGGTCACGTAAAACCCATTAAGATTGTATTTTACCACCGGTCAGGCTGGCGTTGGTATCTTTCCCTTCCATTATAACGGGTCATTATGCATCCGGAAACCATCAACTCGTAAAATAAAGATCGCCGATTTAATTCGATTGTCTTTTAACAATTTCAAAAATAATAAAAATGTTGGAATAAAGAACCCCGTAATGGAACCACTTTGTATTTGTACTTAACATAAACTAAAACTGATACGCTAACGAAATTCAACTTGCAACTCTACAAAAATTCGAAAAAATAAACCCCATTAAAGGGCGCCCGTTACAATACGTGCACGCCCTCCTCAGTTACTCCAAAATGAAAGAGTTTCGGACATATGTTTATACGAAGTCTTTTTCTTCCTTTGGTGTGAGGAACGTGCCCCCCACAGTTCGTAAAATTATTATTGAACCACCCTGTATAATTAAAAAAAATGCATAGCCACCGTTTTTTTTACTGTGGAAGATGAATTGTAGAATGTTCCCTGCAGTAATTGATAAACTACCAAAAACGGATTACAGATTAGTGCTAGACAATTTTTCCGACATTAATATTATTATTCACTAGTTACGACCATGGGGCATGGTTCAATGCTTTTGATTTGCGGTACGTACTATTATAGGTGCAGCCCGAAAAACAAGCATGTTGATGGAAGATTGTCTCGGTGTGCTCTGAAAAATTGGCACTTTATTTCTTTGGCTGATTAAAAAAATTTGACAAAACAATTTTAGAAAATTGCTGCATATTGGCAAATCTAATGTGGGCCTACGCATCTCTCCAGTAGGTACTTTATTGAGTATTATCGTGAAGTAATTTTTATGACATGTGTTCTGACGATTTTTTCTGGGCATGGACACGCCCGTTTAGATAACGATCTGGGTTAGCGGCCCATAAAAAAATGGGACTCGGTATTAACTTCCTTTTTTCTACGTTCCGACACTCGAAAATAGTGGTAGGTAGAGGCATGGGACGTTTACCATAATCTGAACGTTGCGAATTTGACCTTCAGATCATCTTCGAAGGCAAATTTCTGAAAGGGTACCATTTCATTTGGTTTGCGGGACGCTAATGTTGAAGGATTCGTGCAGTCGACGCCTATGTAGAATGCGCACAAGTGCAAAGAGAAAAAACAATTCCGGTTTTATAGCACGTAAATTATTCCCGTTCTTCCAGTAAATTTGTCAGAGACTATTTTAAGAAGATTACGGTTCAATTCGCATACCTAAGCTCTGCTGTAGGTACCTAAATGTGTTTTACCAATGACACACTTTGTTAGAAAACACACAGTGTAATCAAACTGCTAATATACCTTGTACACATTTATCCCTTCCGCTAATTAGGTAAATTGATTGAAATCTAGTTTTTTTGAACCAGTTTTCACCACGATTTCCTTTAGTCAGCTAATCATTTCGTTCCATATTGCGGCCGCTTTTTACATATTCCCTGAAAGCTTGCACGTAAACATGGAAGACGCTATAACTTGTGTTTATTTTAGGAGAGAAGTTTACGGACGTCACTAGGGCACAATGGGCAAATCCGATATTATAATCACGACAACCAAAATCGAAATGTCGGAGACGGACAGGCCGAAGCTGTTCACCATAGGTCCATGCCAGAAGGATCCAGACGAGTACGGCTCGGGCGGCTTAAAACTGTCGTCCGATGTCGAAATGTACACAAATCAAGCCGCTGGGCATATGACAAACGGAAAAACAATCGGTAAGTCGCATCAAAGGTCTGTGTGGTATTTTACTATCCCGTAATACCATAGCAACAGGTTGGTGGATGACGTCATCAGTACGTCCCATTTAGTATTCCTGGACTGGAGGTTTGGACGTTTCGAATTCGCGTACTCATTTGTGTCTTCCAAACCGCAATCATTACCCGCGATGTGGTCTCTCAAACCACTGTCTTATTTTGCATCTTTTTCGTCATGAAAACTTCCTTGAACAGCACGAACGCTGCAATCAAATGTCATTGTCGTCGTCTCCCTGCAATTGCTCCTCGATTTTATTATACTTATTCATTTCAATACGAACCACCAATTGGAGTTTGTTATTTAAAAAAATCAAAAATTGCAAAAACACGTCTATTTAGATAGATATGGGAAGTCGAGGAGGAAGTTTAATGGAAGGTTTACCTTAGTTTAGCATTTGCTCCCGCACCCCCACTATATACAACCCCAAGATTAAGGAAAACTGTACTGCCCTGAAAAGTACAACAACAAAATTCCTCATTTTAAAGAAAATTAAAGGAGATGATCCGGATTCGCCCAACTAGATGTACTGGTTAGGCTGTTTTCTTGTTGCCAAAAGGGCCGACGGGAAAATCGATAGAAAACCCTAAATGAATGCGGCTCTGATTTTTTTTAAATTCCATGCTATTACACAAAATGGCGTAATCCGCCTGTAAGAAAGATGTGATTTAGAAATGTTATTGCGCACAAATAGACGTTCAACAGTAGTGATACAGAGCCGTACCAGGACCGTTCAAGGTGGCTCACCACCTGGCGGTAACCTTGGCAACTAGGCCAATGTGAAGTTAGCGCGTCACGTAGTTATATGACCTAGTATATGACCCTTGAAAGTAGGTCAAGGTGCAAGGGCATTCGTTTTCAAGATCATCAAAAGTTAATGACTCCATTTTTGTCTTGTCATATTTCACCTTCAACGACCCCATTTTTTGCGGCACCACATAATACTTTTAAGGTCATTAAAGGTCAATCGACTAATTTTTGTTGTCATATTTTATTTTCAAGGTCACTTTTCATTTTCTTGGGTTTTTAAGGTAGTGCTCTGCTGAGTTCATATCAACCTGGCAGAACATGTCATAATTTAAAAAAAAGGAGCATGTCATTCGGGAATAGGGCACTTAATTAGCACCTAATTATGCAATATGTTTGATTGTGTCCTGCTGACCTTGCTCTGCTAGGTGAATGGACATGACCTCGATGCCCCTTTCGGTCGGCCGCTTCCAAAAATGGGTACAATATTTGCCCTTCAAATAATGACCTTCAATTTATTAGTTAAGATTCACTCGTGCAGTTCCGACTGATAGTAGTTTCGTGCAAATTGTTTCTCGCATGGAAACTCCCCAAAAAAAACTGATCGCGTGCGATACAGTGCAAAAATATCTGACACGAATATTCATCTAATGTCCTAAATCCTTTCACAGTACGGCGCGATCGCTCTTAACAATTCTTCACGCAAAATATGGTCTCCGGCTTAAACTAAATTTTTTCCCTTGCATTTCGACGCGACCACTCCGCACAGCTTTGACTGTTCCTAATCGCTCGACGCGCACGCAATCATGGCTTCGCGTGTATTGCCCCACGGCTATCCCTGAACGAGTTAAATTCGCACCACTCAAATTTTCCATTCCTACCCATTCTGGGACATGCAACCTTCTCCACCAATGAAATTCATTGGTTCTAGCCAACTTTCGTACACATTTACTTCGACAGGACCGTATCAGAAACCGGCCCTTGTAGTAAAAATCCATTATCACGGCTAAATTTGCAGTCTTACTTCTATTTTCATGCAAACCAATCTCCAATAACCAGCTTTTTGGGTTCGTGTGCTGATCATCAAGAAAAGTTTGTCAAATGAGCCACTTTTGGTTAAATTCAAAGAATGTTGAGGGGCTAACTTAATCTGAGTATTTCTAGCCCCCCCCCCCCCAATTTTATTTAAAGTCTGAATTTAACAACAACTATTCAGCCCTGACTTGTGCAATGCATGTAATAAAATAGCAACCGCGCAAAGCAAAAGTTGATATATCTACCTAACCTACTTCAAAGGCCAAGTTGTTATAATTAGTGGTTTCAGTGGACTGCAACAACTAACAACCCAGTAGGGCGTAAAGGGCTGCAAAGAAAGCTATTGTTACTATTGTAGTGAGTAGGTATTGCGGTACTTGACCGTGGGAAAATTTTGGGGATCAAGGGAAAAATATTTCAGCCGTTGACCAGGGTCAAATTTTGCCAATTGGCCCTGGGTTCAAGGTTAAATTTTGTCAGTTGGCCCGGTGTGCCAGATCATATTTATGCAGTTGACCCGGGCTGCGAGATCATATTCCGGCAATTGGTCCTGGGTACGAGATCATATTTCAGCAGTTGGTCTGGGCGTGCGAGATGATGTAGGCATGCGCCAAGCTCAAGGTCATTCGCATCATGCTGAAGGTTATTGACCGTTTAAGTATCATTGACCTCTTTGAATGCGCAGCCAGATCCCTAACCTGAACACAAATTCAACGGAAACAGGTCAGGTTAAAATAAACAGGCCTATTTTTGACGAACAAACCTGTTCTAAGTGAACAGACCTGTTTCAGGTGGGCAAACCTGTTTCTGATGTACAGACAGCTGTTTCTGATGGATAGACGTGTTTATTTAACTGTTTTCTGGAAAAATACGTGACTGGATTTGATTCCGAAAGTACCAAGTCTACAGATTGAACATCTTCAGGTGTGATAAAAATTCCTCTTCACTACGCGCACACTGTCGCTACCCTCCTCACCCACGGCACCTTCTTCATAACTTACCGATTTTCGTTTCCTAGGAAACTAGGATTCTGTTGGGGACGAATATTTTGGGCTGATTTCGTTTCCGAATCCAAATCTGCTAGGACCAGGAGAAATTTTAATTGGAGAAATACAAGCGATGAACTGTTATCAATTTATGATTGTACATACTGATGATGAAATCCCCCCCCCCCCCAAACTTTGTTCCCACGGACTGCAAATGAAAACGGGTAACATACCAACATACAAATTACCAGTTGCAGTTCTTAACTACGTTTTTACATACAGGGCTGCTCAAACAAAACGGTACCGTCCTAAAGCCGATTTTGAAGACCAAATGCAGCGAAAAGGAGTTCTATGAGGAAATAAATAAAAGCAATGACGATTGCTCAGTGCAATTAAAGCAGTTCGTTCCTCAATACTGTGGTACAAAGACCGTCACGTTCGACAACAATAAAATCGACTGCATTGTCTTGGAGGATTTGACCAAGAACTTCAAGCAGCCCTGCATATTGGACGTTAAAATCGGTCGGCAGACGTGGGCGCCGACTGCCTCCTACGAAAAAATGATGCGCGAAGATGTAAGCTATTTTTAATACATTTATAATCATTCAGTTTTTTACCTTCTTAGAATAAATATCATGAAACTAAGCGTGATTTAGGAATCTGTATTCCTGGATTTTTAGTGTACGACGTTGCCAGTGGGAAGGTAGATCGTTATGATAAGGATTACGGGAAGACGCTCAACAGAGAAAGTATTAAAGAAGGTACGTATTTGGTTCATTTTGCATTGCTCTAAGACAAGGCTGTTGCAGCTTTAAAACTTTTTCTCAATGCCAACGTTGGTCTGAACAGAGATCTGCTGCTGCAGTTTGTAGTCGAGTTATGGAAAATACTGAGATGGGCGCGACTGGAAAAGAAGTTTCAGTTATTCTCGTCCTCTCTTCTGTTTGTTTATGACGCAAAGAGGCTAAAGAAGAAGGTGGTCGCACAACACGCTACGGAAAAACCGCTCAGAGAAACCCGCAATCAGTCTCTGCCATCGTACGATACCAATCTAAAACGGTTTAATCTCTACAAGCCTTTAAGTTTACTCAAACTGAACGATTCCGTCCCAACCGGCTTTAGCGGCCTGTTCACGAAGGAAGGACCGATTTTGTGTTCCCTTCCCTCGAAGATCAAGCACTTCTGTTCGACGAGCGTTAGAGATAAAACTCGAAGATCATCGGAGCAGGTTAACCGGTTACGGCGCGTGCACTCGTTCCAAAACAATTACGACAAAGATTTACAAAAGATTAGAAAAGATTACAAGGATATGTTACGTACTTTGGTCGATGAGGAAGAGTGCGAGACGTGGGCGGTCGTCAAGATGATTGATTTCGCTCACGTTCATACGATAGCTCACAATGAAGTCGACAGGAATTATTTGGAAGGAATCGAAAGCTTAGTTAAATTGTTTGAGGAGTTTTTAGGTGAAACTGGTAATTCGTAATAGCTGTAGATTCTAGTCTAGCGTTTGTGTTTTGTTTGATCTCAGTGCCATTCTATTCCAATCACTTTGTATACTTTTTCTAAAATAAATGACACCAATTGTTTTTTATTTTTGTGTATTACTGTCAAGCCTATAACAACTATGCAATTATTGATACTAAATTGCACATGGCGCTGATAGGCCTCTCCATCCTTTGGCAAGTTGACTTAAATTGAAGTAAAACTCCATACAATGCCATATAAAAAAGATCAAAGTGTTTCATTCCTTGGACACCCCGAGAGATACCATAGCTCAGGGTTTATACTGACCCTCTTCAGCCAGCGAACGGGAATGTAAGGATGGGAATGAGTTAGTGTACTGAGAGGGAAGAGTATTACTCCAGCATTCACCTCGTCTGACAAAACCCCAGGCGGAGCAGTCGGCAGCGGGATTCGAACCTAGAACCCCCTGAATAGCAGTCTGAAACGCACATATATATATGGAAACGCAACCTCTGCGCCACCGGCTTCGGTCAAGGCCATATACCAGAATCCTGAATTTATTTACAGTAGGCTTAGTACAGGCACTATCAAAAATCAGAATGAAAATCACTTGACAATAGTATTTTACATTATTAGCCAGGTAAGTGAGTTTTTACTGGCGATAGGAGAAGTTGACTGGCGAGCCGTTAGGCGAGCCTGTCATCTCCTAGAGCCAGTAAAAACTATTACCTGGCGTATAATGTACAATATTTTATTTGTTACTCATTTGTAAACGTAAATAATTAGTTCTTAAATTGATCTTGAAGAAATGTCTAAAATATCATGTGATCCATGTAACGGAGACTTCGCATTAATTCTGGCCAATGAAATTACTAGATTACTAACTTGTAAAATTTTTACAGGTCTGCTGTCAGTTTTACAAGTCTGCTGTCAGTTTTACAAGTCAGTAGCGTTTAAACATGACGTTTACCGGTTTGCGTTTTGTCTTGTTAATCAACCGAGTAACAAATAATAGTTATTTACATATGAGTATGGTAAATCAAGGTTTACGTTAGCGAGTGAGATGTTTACTGCCGAAGCGTAGCTGAGGCAGGAATTTCGAAACGAGTAACGTAAACTGATTTGACATACAAATAATGTAAAACATTTTATATCATATTGCTCTATTTCTATTAAAATACCATTTTGATTAGAATGTTGTAGGTACACATTAAAATAAAAGCAAAAGTCGATCACTTGATTTGTTTGATGACAGTAGTTTGACAAATATCAATGCATACGTTTAGATGGATGTCAGTTACGGTTGCTAGGCAAAATTTCCAGTCTGGTAAAAATTTTCAGTCTGGTAAAATACGATTTACCAGACTCAAATCAGTCTGGGAAAGCGGCGATTACTAGATAGTATGAAATAAAGGAAATTTACGTAAAGCAAAACAATCACGTCATATGATAAGAAGATGGATAATAGTACATTATAGGTATATCAAGGTAGAGAAGTACAGTATTATTGCCTGAGCACCAAGATTACATCTCGCGGCGCTTGCGCCGAGGGGTGTAATGTGCGAAGGCAGTAATAGACTTCTCTACCGTGGTATATATACTATTTTTTTCACTACTAGCACTTGAAATCCTCTAAATTAACATATTATACCTATTGATAAGAAAGTGAACGGTTGGATAGAATTTTTTGTTTATTAATTTAACATGTCAATCAAGTACGTAGACGTACAAGTCAAACAGGCCGTATTTTGTTCTTTCATTGAGATATTTTCAAAGAGTATTTTCGTTCGAATTTTTTCAAAATATGATAATTTTAGGTATGTAATTTCTCTGGAAATGGCGGATGGTGGCAATTATTCATTTTAGAGAACTTGTCCAAACGTTTACCTATTGAGCGAAATTTCGGGTTGTGTTTTCTAAAAGTGACAGCGTGACAGTTCTCATTATTGACTACTAGTTAATAATGTCCACATTATTAACCACTTTGAACAAATGCCGAGAAAGCCTACTTTACAAGTGGAAAAAAGGTTAATAATCATGTCATCAGACGCTAGTAGCGAAAAAAATTTTTTTATATAAAAAACATTTATGAGTACAAAGTACAACGAAAAATGCGTAAAATTATATTGAAATACATGAAATTGGAGTTGAAGTGTGTGACAGAAATAAAGTGTTGAATTTCACCCAACCTGCTGGTCTTTTATTTCAAAACAATCACGTTTACCTATATAATGTTCTGAAAATCTTATTATATCCAATGCAATCGATTCTAGATAAAGATAGGTAGGCAATAACACAAATATAAATACATCTGGGATTTCAATGTAAAATTCATAACATATGCGATTATATTGGCTCCCCAAATTATTTTAGAGCAAAAATGTATTAAAGTTTTTTTACGCCAATCAACGTATTAGTTTTCAATAAAAATAAAACGCGCATCTTTTTCAATAATCTGCGATGCCATGGAATTTTCTAAAACAAAAAGATATCCAGTTATCAATTAGCAGCAGTTCGAAATGGATTTTATGATCGACTTGGTTACTGTCTTGCAGGTAATGGTGACTTATTCGAGCATTTATTGTAAATTGTTATATTAGGAAACCGTTCTTAGAAATTTGGTCTTTCTTTATGTTGAATTCGTTGTTCTACATCTAATAGGTACTTTTTGACAGAATTTGATTTGTTTTATAGCAGGAAATTCCATGGCATGACGGATATTGGCGTAGTTTTTGTATTATAAAATTCCATGTCATCACAGATTATTGAAAAAGATGGGGGTTTTATTTGTCCAATTTTCCGTCTTTATTATGCAAAAAATTGAAAACTAATACGATTGATTGACGTAAAACATTTTTTTATACAAAAAACCTTAATACATTTTTGCTTTAAAATAATTTGGGGAGCCAATAATCGCATGTTATGAATTTTACATTGAAATCCCTATGATGAGTTATGCAAGTCACCACCCTGTATATGGTTATGGGTATACTAGAGTATACCCTAGTTCTGCGCAGTTGCCGGAACAGCCTTAACAGAAAATGGGTTTAAGTACTGATTTACTGATATGGTTTTCGACTTAGAGAAGGAAAGAGGTTTTCAATGACTTCCTAGTAATATGCGCACGCTTACTGGATTTCTCAATCGTTTAATTTTTTTTCACTACTAGCGTCTGAGGACATGATTATTAACCTTTTTGACTTGTAGTCAATAATGAGAACTGTCACGCTGTCACTTTTAGAAAACACAACCCGAAATTTCGCTCAACAAACGTTTAGACAAGTTCTCTAAAATTAATAATTGCCACCAACCATTTCCAGAGACATACCTAAATTATCACATTTTGAAGAAATTCGAACGAAATTACTCTTTGAAAATATCTCAATGACAGAACAAAATACAGCCTGTTTGACTTTTACCTCATCCACGTACTTGATTCACATGTTAAACATTAAACTATAATAAACACAAAATTCTGTTCTGTTCACTTTCTTATCAATATAATATGTTAATTTAGAGGACGTCAAGTGCTAGTAGTGAAAAAAATAGTATATATACCACGGTAGTATTCTTGTCTGTGATTGGTTAGCTCATAAAGTTTGTCCACGATTCGGGAATGCAGCTAAACTTCAACTTATCCCTATCGTATACGATCATGACGTCATGGCAGCCGGTCACATCACATGCACATCACGGAGCATATCGACTAACTTCGGGAATCGATGCCCATATCTTTACTATGCATCAATGGAAAGAGCATAAAAACGGACAAAAAAATGCACTTGCAACATTTTTCTAAAGTGGACAGTTTTTTTTAGTTTTTTTTGTAAATTTTGCAAGTACAATTTTTTACCCGAAAGGCAAACTTTTGGGCGGCCGAAGCCGATTGCCCCTTAAAGACGCGCGCCTTGCAAAAGGTGGTTTATTTCGCCTCTCCGAAAAAAAACAATATGTCGTCACGCAGGAGTTGGGCGCGTTTACAAGATCTCTCCGACACCAATTTGAAAACAATCGAACCCAAACTATAGAAGAAGATAGAAAAACACTGACAAATCCCCACGTTAGTATGACACTCGGGGATGGCGCACAGATGTCGCTGACTCCAGATTTTGAAGTCCCGTCCCTAAAGTTGTTCATTACATGACCCCGGTAGGTACATGTACAATAAATTGAACACTCCTCTTTCCACAAGCGTTCTTCTACGGGCCTGCATTTGCTGCCAGCCAGCCAACCATCCGGCCGAAATGAGATTAAAAGCTACCTTTTTACAAATAAAATTTCCAAAAAGCCGATAAAAGATAAGAGTTTGGAAAATATTGACTCTTCACAGCAACACTAACTGCAAGTAGAAGCTAAATGGAGAATGAGGTGTCGGAAAAGTCGAGACGCCCACGATTGGGACGATTCGAAGACCCCCTTGCAGGCAACCTAAGTGAACAGCTTCCGGCGTTTTATAGTAATATTAGTAAATACTATAGTATTTCGATTAAATTTTCTTCTCTACAATTTTTCTCCCTTGACATTTTTTCCTAAATGCTTTAGTTTTAGAGTTATTAAGCAAAAATTTCAAAAAAGGTAGATTTTATCCCACTTAGGGGGTGGGGTGGTTTTAGGGTGACGGGTTCAACGCCTTTTCGCTGGGGGTTCAGAGGGTGTTTAGACTTTTATAACAAAGCACATTGCCAAATTTCAGCTTGTCTCTAATTTGTTGAACGTTACCCATATAAAACGATGGGCCCTGTGCTAAAAGTGATAAGTTTTCTTTCAGCACCACCAGAAAGCCGAGAAAATATGACTAAAGCCCGATTCAGACTATGCAATTATTGCATGCAAATTTCGTGCATTTTGTTGCAATTTGCATGCTTGTGCACATTGTAGTTAATTGTTGCATGTGTATATACTTGCAAACTTTATTTTTGTGCAACTGCTAACATTTATGTTGGTAGTGGTACTTAATTGAATACTATTTTTTGATATTTTTGAAAATAAAACACCAGCGCATTTTTGAAAATGACATTTTTCGGTTTGTTGACCATAACTTCGGTATTTGTACAGTTACGAGAAACTCTGAAAGGGAAAACTTATTCTACATAAAATTCTGTAATCATGGCCCATTTTAAGCGACTTTGCATCTCTTGTGGACTGCGGTTTATGAGATCGCAAAAAACTCTGTATCTGTTGGTGGTTTTAATGAGTATTTAAACAAGGGTAACGGTATTACCTTATTTCCATTTGTATTTTATACCACTTGTACATCATTTTATTAATTTGTTAATTGTTTAACTGCATTTCACCTGATTTTTAAATATGCAATTTGAAATTATAATTTGATTATTTTCTTGTATTTGTGTTTTATGCCAGATTTTTCCCTGACCTTTCAGTATATTAACCAATAAATTGCAGCTATTTAAGTTCCCTCAAATACGATCTAAAATTGCTAATGTTTTGTGGTCCATAAAAGGATAAATATGGCAAAGAGTACATCTTTGAATATGGCAATTATGTCTACGTAATGAATCTCCCTGTATATGTGTAAATAAAGCACGCTTGCGACACGCTAAATGCCCCCTCTCTCTTGTTTCATCCAAGTTTCAAACCTTTACAAGGAATTCCTCCACTTGCTCAGCTGAAGGAAGTGGTGGTGGTGGTAAAAGTCCGCATTATTTATCGTCTCCATGTTGTTTTGTCGTTTATAGTTTAATTTTTCCAAAAATTTAGGCATATAACAATAGTATTCTAAGCATTTTAGTGTAATGGGGGAAGAAAATAATAAAGGTGCGCAATCAACAATATTTAGTCTCCCCTTCTTAAGAAGTTTATCAAATTTCAGAGAAAGACCGGCGTTCGAGCGAGCGAGAGCGCCGGAGACGGTCCCGTTCGAGAGAACACAGACGTAGGTCGAGGTCGCGAAGTCGTGAACAGCGCAGGAGACGTAGCAGATCTGGGTATGTACAAATTGTGTCAAATGCACCATCTGCATTTTCGTAAATAGTTCAAGGCATAAGAATCATTCGCGTCGTCGTAAGCCTTCCTTGTACTGGGATGTGCCTCCACCGGGCTTCGAGCATATCGCACCAATCCAGTATAAGGCCATGCAAGCGGCCGGTCAAATACCTGCGAACATTGTCGCCGACACTCCACAAGCCGCCGTGCCCGTAGTGGGCTCGACGATAACACGCCAAGCTCGTCGTTTATACGTCGGCAACATTCCCTTTGGCGTAACTGAGGAAGAGATGATGGAATTCTTCAATCAGCAAATGCACTTAAGCGGTTTAGCGCAAGCCGCCGGAAATCCAGTTTTAGCTTGTCAGATCAACTTGGACAAAAATTTTGCGTTTTTAGAGTTCCGTTCGATTGACGAAACGACTCAGGCGATGGCATTTGATGGCATCAATTTTAAAGGTAGTACTCCCTCCATTTGTATTTCGCCAAATTAACCTCGTTTGATACAGGTCAAAGTTTAAAAATACGTAGGCCGCATGATTATCAGCCTATGCCAGGTATGTCAGAAACAGCTCTGTCGGTACCAGCTGGCGTAATCAGCACAGTTGTGCCTGATTCGCCGCACAAAATATTCATCGGCGGCCTTCCCAATTATTTGAACGAAGATCAGGTACGTATTTGGGGCGATCGTCTCGATCAACAAATATTGTCTCATACAAGAGCAACAGTGTTGAAATTGTATCCGTTCTTGTATGAGAATAGTTTGTTGTGTATATAGAGGAGAATACCGAAGTTTAAGATAATTAGAAGAAAATAATGGAGGGTTAGCCAGACATTTTATTTCAGATGTTGCTCCATTCTTTCTCGTGTCGTTTTTAGATTACTTTTTCAAAATTCGAACTGTGCAAATTTCTTGGTCTCAGATTTTGAATTTCCAAACAAATTTTTCAATTATTGGCAAAAGTTAGACTGATCTGCTTTTTGGTTTTCTTTTATTGCAATATACAGGATGTCAACATGGATTTGCCATCTCTAACTTTTATATTTGATGCTTTCAATTTAATTATGGATTCCAATCTGTGGTTGATAGTAGCACAGTGTTCAGGTACTCCACGCCTGATTCAAGTTGTGAAATAGATTGAGCTAACTTTACATTAGGCTAGGCGGGATCCACTCTAAATGAAAATTACAAATTTCAAGTGGGCTGTTGTTACGAATTTATAAATTATATAAAAATAAACAAGTGACAATTGGAAATAAATTAAATTCCTCCTTTATGTGTGAGGTTTTTATTTTTCATATTAAAACAAATTTCTTGATCTCAAAAACCATTGGACATTATTAACGAAAGTTAAATTATATATATGGAGCTCTATTTAAAACAAAAACTGAGATACACACTTGAAATTTTTGATCTATACAGAAAAAACCTTTAAACTTCTAATATGAGAAACATCTAATTGAATTTGGAAGAATTGATATGGACCCGAAATCATCAAAATTTAAGAATAAATTTTAACATTATGCAATGGCTTACTTTATGAAATTTAATTTGAAACTAACTTTTTCGTTGGTTTTACATGTACATTAAAATAGACGTATTATTCCATGTAGGTACGATTAAAATTTGAAACCAAATACAGGGTGTTCCATTTTAAGAAATGTAACTTTTTGGTCCCATGATTTTGTGATCACACCCTGTATAATTCAAATTATTTTTTATAATATTTACCTTATTATACAAGGATCATGAGAGCATTCTGCGCAATTGTTAGCCCCCTCCCCCCTTACAGAACTGAATTTGTTACTAACTGTAAACAAAAATGGCGGAACATGAATTTACGCCCTAACTGGTGGCAGTTTCTATGCCTTAATATGCATAAACAATATAAAAATTGAAAAAAGACGGAGAATCTATGTGACAGTCTTGATTTGCTTAGATGCATAAAAACGTACAACTTCACATTGTGAGTATTTCTTTGACATTGCCATCAAACCCTCAGTGAAAGACAATTTTTTCTTTTGATTTTTGGTAAAGGCCAACGTTTTTTTTTAAATGGCTGCTACTACATCCTGAAACGCACTGTATTTATTTATTTATTTATTTGTTTAACCAGAAACCATATAGAATAAAAATTCCAATTACATGGCACTGGGGCTCTGAACAAACATTAGGACTTAAGATCTAATTTTATTTATTATTGAATTTAGGGGATCGTGAAAAAAGTCGATATCATTAACTGAGGACAACTTATTTAAAGTGATCAAGATCTTAATAAGTGGGGAAGTTGTGTTGTTAACTGCAAAAAAACTGTATAAGGTAATGTCAAAGATTAAGGAGACATTAATGATCCTACTGTAAAAACAACTGCTCTGAAATGTTCTGGTGAAATTTAAAGAGATTAAAAAACTTGATATACGTTTCATCAAAAAGGAGTGCCACTTTTATTGGAATAGAATTTCTTTTAAAAAAAGAAGGCCAAAAAGCGAAGAATGCGAAATTTGATTGGGCTCAAAAAAGGACCAATATCAAAGACATTCTGCTAGCATGGGTTTATTTTGAATAAATTGTGTCTGAGTCTTCAACTATGTGGTGTAATATATCTTCGGTTTTGGATACTGTGTCACCACGTCTCTGTTTTAATATCACCTTTATCCCTTACCATTTATTTTACAATGTATCAAAACGAGTAACTGTCTGTATGTGTGTTGTGCACTAGGTCCAAGTGCAGACAACTTTTTGACTTCAATTTCACCATAGGGATCTTTGTAAATTATCATGTTAGGTAATTATTAAAATATTTAGCAATATTGTATTGGGTAATAGTTTGAGTTGTCACATTGGATCCTTGAGGTATTCTAGAAAGAGTATTTAAGGCAGGTATTATATATTATATTATATTATCATTGGATAATAGTAAACAATATAGGCTCTGTATAGGGCCCCTGAGGTACCAATACCAAATTTCTTATTTATAAATGTCCGTATATACAAAATCAGTTTTACTCTTAATCTTAAAAATACAGGATGTGCATAAATGTGATGATATCAAGATTTTGTACGTTTGCGGTATGTTACGCTGGAGGGCTTTCATGATTGGTCATGTCAATAGTAGTGATAATCTACAGGGTGTTGTTTATTCATGAGTAATAGGGGGGTGAGGGTAGTAGAAATGAAGGTGACGTACTGATTTTAAAATGAAACTTTATACAATCTTTCAATAAATTCCAGAGTTAATGACTTTTTGGAGTTCCTACATTCACCAGAAAAGTAGAAACATAAGAGGCCTGTCCAAAAACGTTTAAATGTCTCGTATTGATCACAACTCTTCTCATTCTAAAATCTGCCAAATCAAGAAACATATAACTAATTCATAAGTTAAAAAACTGGAGTCAAAGCCTTCATTCTGATCCCAAGACAGCAAAATGCAGTGGTTTGCACAAATATACTTTAAAATGCAGATTCTTCTGGGTCATTTTTACTTAATTAAACTTTCAATTTGCAGAAACAAGCACTACTATAATGATCAGTGGATAATAGTAGACAAGCAATTCAATTCACAGTTATTTATTATACAAGACAATAAAGGAATGGTTTAACCATCGAGTGAAAGATGTTAATACTGTAGTTGTGTAGCTACGAGTGGATTAACCACGAGATGGTTGGTTTCCCATTATGGGCTTGTATAATACAAAACTTTATTTTATAGCAGGGGCCGTATAAATTATTATAACACATCTGAAAGTTATGAATTTAATTTAGACGTAAAAAATAGCAAGGCAAGGTTCTCCAGTCGTTTCCATGGAACAACATTGTTTTCTCTTCTAAACTTCATTTTATTTCGTACTCCGCTTCCCATTTTTAATAATGACATGCCACTAGAATGTGTCATTTCATCTACCCTTGCCGTTAAAGTGATCACTTTATCTACCTTAACCATGAATGTGACTTTAAAATGCAGTAGGTCTAATTTTTGCTTCTAATATAAAATTTATTTGGGAATTCGACGAGCGCGAGAGCTTAAATTATTCTAAATACAATCTTCGAATCGAGATATGATTTCAGGAAATTTTTAGCCCTGGAAGCTGTAAATTCGGCAAAGTCCACATTTCAGCTTATCTTTACAGGTGATGCGTCAAATCGAGTTTCTATTTCAGCAAACTTTCAGGTTTTTTTAGTGATTTTTCAGCTTGATATTCCGCCACTGTTTACGTTACGATTAATGCGTCTTTTTGTAATATTGTTACGCATTGTTACGATTTAAACTGTTGCTGTAATTGTTTAAATCGGCGAGGTATGCGTAATTGAATTATGGAGTTTCGCGTAAATCGTAACTGCGGCGATAATTTTCAGCAAATAGCAAAATTGTTTTTTGAGTGTGTTTTCAGCTATTTCAGCATAGAATTTTGGAAATCGGTAAAATTCCAGTACAGTTTCAAATTTTGTTTTTATCGTCAATTTTCGGTTTTTCAGTTTTCAGGTTTACTTATTTGCAGGTTTTTCAGATAAATTCCTCTGCATGTGTATGAGTATCAGGTATAAATGATTGCAGTAGTAAATTTTAATAATAAATTTTGTATAAACTTTTTACTCATACATTATTTGCTTGTTTGCCCTATAGCTAGGGTTTGGGACAAGGTCGTTATTATGAAATCACTGCCAATTGATCCCTTGTGGATATGCAGGCAAGTTTGATCCATTACCTGACATAAAAATTAACAAAAGTAAAATGAAATAGAAACACTTAAAGAAGCGTAAGTAGATTGAAAGTACTCGTAAATTCGAAATTGTAATCAAATCCATTTCAATCTTACCGTCGTAGATATTAATAGCAATTAGCAAAATACGCATTCGAAGTCGATACGTATTTTGCTAATGTAGAATTCATTTCTTAAACAAAATTTATGAACTGAATTCTTTGTCACGCATGCGCGAACGCGCGACTCCTAACCTAATAAATAACAATTTGTAGGTTAAAGAGTTGCTAATGTCATTTGGTCAACTGCGCGCCTTCAATCTGGTGAAGGATTCTGCCACCGGTCTTAGTAAAGGTTACGCATTTGCTGAATATATCGACATTACTATGACGGACCAGGTGAGTTCCTTAGCGTACAGTACATTCTTAATTGACCCGAATTTCGTCAGGCCATCGCCGGTTTAAATGGAATGCAACTGGGAGATAAGAAGCTGATTGTACAGAGGGCGAGTGTCGGTGCGAAGAATACCACGATTATACCGAGTGTACAGATTCAGGTGCCCGGGCTCAGTTTGGTCGGCGCGTCCGGACCCGCAACCGAAGTGCTATGTCTTTTGAATATGGTAGGTGGTCAATAGTTATGAAAGTGCAGAAGGACCTGGAAACCATTACCATTGTTACGACCTGTGTGGCGCAGTAGCGTGACTGTGGTACTAAGGGTTCGGGCGTGGATATTTGTAAATGTATAGTGGATTGGGTTGGGAGAGCAGCCTTTGGCTGAAACCGGGTTTCAAAAATTCAAAAATCAAGACCAAAAATAAATAAATAAAAGTTAAAGATTTAAACTTTAGCCAATTCACAATTGGCAATTTGGGTTCGAATCCAAAATGTTGAGTATCAAACCTAAAATTTCAGGTTAATAATTGGAAAGGCCTAAATCCTAAAACTGTTAAAACTCGGAAACTCGCAAGCTGAAGTTATGATCAGGGTGTTAATACTAAGTTGTTACACCCGAAAACGGCAGTTAGAACTCATTAAAACAAACAACTTTTTTTCTAATTTTTGATTTGGTGCCTCGGTTTGAAGTTATTGGCGTTTTTTTGTTTTTCGAAAAATCGTCATAACTCCCTTATTTTAAGGACTATTGAAAAAAACAAAAATTTTGTATTTGTAATTATTTATAATTATTTTTTATTTTTACAAATAATCAAATCGCGATTGAAAAAAAATTTCAAAAAACATTTTTTGATAACCACCCCATCGATTTTTGAAAACAAAACATTTATAAAATCTCTACATTATCTACTACAACATTTGTCCTAAACATTTTTTTTCAATCTACCCTATTTTGGAAGTCACAATTGAAAAAAAAAAACAAAAGAACGCCAATAACTTTGAACCAGGGCACCAAAACTAAAATTGGAACTAAGAAAAGTTGTTTATTTTAATAAGTTCTAACTGCCATTTTCCGGTGTAATGACTTAGTATTGACACCCTGTATAGAGGACAGCTGATTTGCGCGCCATTTTGGGGTCTATTGACAATGGACACTTGCAATAAGTTCCATGCCGTGCATGTATTGTCTTATTATTTTGAGAAAAACCATTATTTTTTTTAACATTTATTAATGCATAAAGACCTTGCAGCTTAAAACACTTTTGGGACCCATAACTGCGCGATTGTTTTCTCCAATCCAATGCACTTAATGGGCTCCAAAATAGCGGATGAGTCTGCTATCTTAATCAAGTACCTACTGTAGTTTGTGCAATTGAGGTTAGAGTCACTTGGTAGATCGATACTAAACAACAAAATCCATGACCCCTCTGTGGCATTTTTTTTGGTTAACATTTGTTGTTCTTAAGGTCACGCCGGATGAGCTAAAGGACGAAGAAGAATATGAAGACATTTTAGAGGATATCAAAGAAGAATGCAACAAGTACGGTGTCGTGCGAAGTATTGAAATTCCCAGACCTATCGAGGGAGTCGACGTACCAGGATGCGGAAAGGTTCGTCCCTTTTGAATATTTCTCCGCCCGTATTCGACTAACCGCTATCTTTTCAGGTATTTGTCGAGTTTAATTCGGTTTTAGATTGTCAGAAAGCACAGCAAGCGTTAACGGGGCGAAAGTTCAGTAATAGGGTTGTTGTCACTTCGTATTTTGATCCAGAAAAGTATCATCGGCGAGAATTTTAAGTGTAGTTTTAGGGAAAAGAAAATGCAGTTTCTCGCGCTTAGTATTGTATTCTGAATTATAATTGCGTTATTATGGACTACAAAACATTCTTCAGTGTAAATGGAGCTTGTGAAATTTTAATTAAGATTTCTGTAAAATATTTTATGAGACAAATCTGTTTTTGGAACAAAATTAACTTCCAATTAAACTGTAATCAGTGTGTAAGAAATATTGCCGACACTGTTTTTGCTTCTAGGTCCAAAAAACTGTTTCTTTTTGTTTCGAAGTGCATTTTCAGAATTTTTTTATTTGAATTAGTTACAGTTAGTTGCAGGTAGGTGTTTGCAATAGTATCAGTTCTTTTTCAAATTTAGGTACCATTAGAGACTGCGCGCTACAAGTATGAGCATTTTGTTAGATAATGACTACTGCAATAATCTGTTCGCATACTAAAGATGTTTGTCAATCTAATTTTGGTGTTCAAGAATGAAGCATTTCTTTTGCTACTTTTGAGTTGAGCCATGAGGCATACATAAATATTCTTTTCTAATAAAAGGTACAACAGGTAAGTCTGCCAAAAAAAAGTGGTGGAAATAAACATGAGGTCATAGTTTCGGTTGGGACTACATCGCACCCAAGTTTCAATATTTGCATTTCTTAAATTTTTCCCAAAAAACGTAACGCTTTTCCGAATTTGTTCTACATTCTGACCTTAAGATTGCTCCTTCCCAATTGAAGGATGTGAAAAAGTGGTTTAGAAGAGTCGTACCTGAGCTTTGAACATGAAACATTTAAATTTAATTTTTGACTTTCCGACTACAAAGTATGTGTAAAGGAAAGTATTGTAATCCTGATAAATTTTTGATATGCCAACATTGCGATTTATGGACGTTTTGAAGTCCACGGACGTCAAAAAAGTGATTTTTAGCTTGACGTCGTGTGGTTCACTTCTTGTGAACATGACACACGAACTTATAAGTTAAGATGGACTGCTGATCAAACAGTTGCATAGAGGTAGAAATGGCCCTAGCATGGGCGCGGCCATGATTTGCACGATTTAGTTATTTTCTAGGAGAATTTTCCTAGTGCTCAAGTTTTGAGACTATTGACCTTGGAAAATGACATGTGTCACAGTAATTCATTTAGAAAACTTGAGGTTAATGCTTGTTTTTATTAGTTGATTTGAATTTCGCGCCAAGTGAGTGCACATCGTGGTTGCCCCCATGTAGGTGCCATTTGTCAATTCAGCATTAGCAGTCCATCTTAATTTTTTAAGTCCCTGACATGATAGCTAAAAAACGCCTGAACCGATTTGGACTAAATTTGGGGTCCATATAGGCTGGTATGGGGAATCGAAAACGTCCCATTTTATTTTTGATCTGTAACCATCTTCATGGTTATTGAGGGTGTCAAAAGATTAAAAGATCCATATTGGCTTGGACATTTTTTTTTCGCATACACTAGCCAAAGTGACTAGAAAAACTACAAAAATGTTTTACAGTTTTTTGTTTCTTCGTTTTTGAGAAGTTTTGAATTAAAATTTTTTTTTAATTTACATTTTGCTCGAAAAATAAGCATCAGAGTCAAAAATGTTAATTACAAAGAGATCTACCAAAAAGTCTTGGACACTTCTTGCGTTGGGTTCAAAATAAAGGCCCAGGGGAAATTTTTTAATGTATAAATAAATATACAATGCTATAAACAAAGATAATTGCAATGAGTATATTAAAAGTAGTCGGAAAATTACGTCAGGAGTTTATCTGACAACTAGATTTAAATTAAACTGCAAAAAGTAAGTTTGATTTGGAATTACCTATTCCATGTCTGAAAAAATATGTAGGTACTTGACTCTAATTATACAATGTGTTCAGCGAGGAATGGGACAGCGCGATATCTCGGGACCTACTGCAGATTTTAATATTCTTAAAACTTTGTTATGAATGTAAGCTAGGGTCATAAATTTTGTGATAGTTTTTAAATTAAATGCGTCACCGCTAGGTGGCGCTACGTAACAATTCCTTAGATGTCCTACCATTGAATAAGAATAAGACTTATTCAATGGTCCTACCAAGCTACTATGTGAACTATGTCTTACTTTTCGGGAAAATAATAATTTTTAGAAATTTAACGTATGTGTGCCTATATAAGTGCTTAAAAAATTCGATTGAAGATAACCTGATAAATTTCATATCAAATAAATGATAGAAGATGGTATTCTGTAGGTATAATACAGATAATAAATAACTATTATAAATAATACGACAATATCCTCCATATAGGTATATATCGCGCTGTCCCATTCCTCTCTGAACACATTGTATGAGATATTCTGAAGATAAACTGCACATAACGTTTGAGAAAATGTTTTTCGTGTACACTGGCTAATATGGCATAAGAAGTTTTACAAAAAAGTTCTTTACAGGTTTTTTTGTGAGTTTCTGACTTTCCGACTAATTTTCAATTGAAAAGCTAAAGCTAAACTATTTATTTTTTTAAATTTGCATTTTTATGGAAAAGTAAACACCATATAGCGAAAAATGTTCAATACAAAAAAAAGGTATGTCTTGATGAGTCTAGAAAAAAGACTTATACAGTTTTTGCATTCTTTAAATGCATTTAGAAATTCAAAACATTACATTAGGTAGGTACTTAAAACTGTATTCTTTATTACCGTCCTCCTCTTATAAGCTATGGAACCGTAGTAACTTATTTGAGTTTAAGGACTTTTAGACAAACCAAGCATTTTTTATAGTTCCATACAATTCGAATGTACACAGTGGTTAAAATAAGGTCGGATATTGTATCTGCGTATAGTATTCATGAAAAGAAACAAAAAATTCTATAAACATACCTAAGGCCTGCTAAGCCTTTCAGAGATATAGTGTTGATTTTGTGTGTTTGGCCAAAATCCAGGAATATTCGAACAAATTAGAGCTTCCTTTTAACAAAGATGTGTGCAAATCGAAGGAGCATAGCATCGAGTATTTTACGTTACATACTGTTTGTTTTTAAATTTTAATTGTATAATTTGTTGAAGACAATCTAGTCTATCTCTGAAACACTTAATTTGCGGACCTACTTGAATAGAATATCTGACCTTTTTCTTGAAACACCCTGTATATATAAGTAAGCTACCATCTAACGAAAACAGAAAATTGTCCGTTGGCGAACAGATAGGCAGAGCAAAAAGCAATTTTCTATATTTCCACGACTAAGATATAAGTAGGTACCTACTTACAGGCCGCGGGCTATAGCATAGATGAGAGCTCTAGATGGGCAGTGAACGAGTTTTCGCGGTTTACTTGAATGTTTCCAGTGCCGTAGTCATAATAACGAGCATGATACAGGTGTGGTCAACTGAACGCTACGCCACTGAAGTACGAAATTGTTTTTCCGACAGTTGCCGATGTCATATTCGGCCTGCGCCGTTATTCGCCACGTCATAGCGCGCGTCCCGTATATAAGTTGTCATCCGATGAAATCCCGCGAACTAAGTTTTCCAAGAGCAAGAGTCTTGCGTGGGAAGTACGTGCGGAGGGAAAGTTTTAAATATAGGCCATATAAACAATAGGTTAGGTATAGAATAAATAGAATTGACCATGGTACAAGGCAAGGTATGCTTATGCTTGACGTCATTGGGATAACTTGGCTCTACCGTTCAATAAAGTAATGGGGTTGAATTGACAAGCAGAGACAGATTACTTTCGATGTCTTTGATTATTGTGTCCAAGATAAGGTTGTCTACTCATGGGGATCTCCGAAACCAAAGTAGGTACATACGACGATGGTCAAATGAAGAAAAAACGCGCAATTAACGAGCTATTATCATACTTTAAATAAATCCAATCATTCCGATTACATCCGAAGGTATGTCAGTTACCAGATGTCATATTGAACAATGTTCTGAAGAAAAAAAGGAACGCACATATTGGGACTTTTAAAGGCAAATTCGTAGCTCCCAAAAAGTCTTCAACCTTGTATCAAAGATAATGCATTACACTTTTATGTGCCTCTATTCAGTTGTCAAGTGACATTTCCATGGCTATCGTGAAATTACGAACACTCTTAGACATGTATTTGAGTATAACGTCAATATGATTTCATTGTATTTCTTATTTTTAAATTATACTGCAGGTAAAATAAAAAATACTATAAGATACACGTGTATAATTGGTCTTTAAAGCACTTGCAACGTTAAAGGCACTCCGCTTCGCGTCGTGCCACTAAACTCGTTGCGCGTTCATTAAAGACTTGATTATACACTTGTATCTTAATATACTATTTTAATATACCTGAATCACAATTTCCGTTTTGAACACTCCAATGCGTGCAATATCGGGCCTTTAAAACACAAGTACTAAGTAATGTTGCTTCAAACATGACTTATGAAACTGTCATCTGATGCTGAAATAAACTATCTTCTTAGGTCGCTTTTTATAAATGCAAAAGATTTCTTTCACTTGTACTTACCCTTTATAAGGTTTAAAGCTTTCAGCATTGGATTTATAACTCTTTCACAAACGTTTGTAATGTAGAGTATGCTGCCAAATCTGCTCCATTTCTTAATCGAAGCATTGTTTGAAGTTTTGAATGAATGCAACAAAGGATAGAAGACTTAAATTCTTTTGACATTTCCTTCATATATGCCACCATTAACGGTGCATTTAGAACTTTTTTCGTAAGATGCTTCCTATTCATCAACGAAACAACTTTTTACATTCTTATACTAGGCTCTACTGGATTTGAATTTTGCACCTACCAACTTTTCTTCAACTTCTGCAACAAGTCATTGAATGGACGTTTCGCGCGTTTTAAAGACTTGATTATACACTGGTCTGGTGCTTTTGTTCGTTGTTTTCGAATTGGTGGTAACAGTAATCCAAAGTAATCTTGAGCTAACACGTACGTTATGTAAACTCTTAAAAAATGTAACTTCTCAATAATTGAGGATACCTACTTACACTGTTTCAAAGATCATTATATGGCATTTAGTTTGATCCCATTTACAAATTTGTCTCATCATAGAAGAATATCCGCAGAGCAGAAATCGGCATAGTGTAGGTAGATACAATTTTTTTAAACGTATCTGTATCTATTTTTTTATAGATACTCAAATAAAAGTATCTGTCGCAACACTGCCATCAGTTACTATTCTTGGCCGGATCACAAAAATAAAAAATGGTTATAGGATGTCATAAAATTTGAAACACTAACTTCTACTTTGTTAGTGACTCTG